ATAGGATCTTAGGGGAGTTTATTTCAGCAGTGTGATTTAGTGAGATTTAGTAGGGATTCCTGCTCTGGGACTGAAGATTACTGCTTGCTCTCTACTGCCTCTCTCTACCACTGGGTGATAGTCAAACACTGACTTACTCTGTTGCTCAATTTTCTCACCTCTGAAAAGGAAATAACCATGATTTGCTTTATTATATAATGAAAAACACTGGAGGAAGGGAAGATGATGTTGAAAATGCCATCTGCTTTCACTGTCTATCGTTTGCATTTCCCTGCAGTAATAAAGACAAGCACAGGAAGTGTATTTTTACTGTCAGTGCTCTGTCACTATATACTGCACTACTATCAGACTGCAGCAACCCTGTGGAAGTAGCTGGTGGTTGCTGGATCAGGCTCTGCTGTGCCTGTGCTCACAAGCCTTTTTACTTGTTTCAGTGGTGACTGGATCTGGGAGGAAGATCAGTGAGAGAAGAAAGAAGCCTCGTAGACAACTTGCTGCAGGTTCTGACCTTTGGTCCAGCAGAGCCCTATCTTAATTATTTGTGGGCAGGGACTGCGTGATTCTGTGATAAGTTTCAAAGGCTGAGAAGCTTGACCTTCCTGCCAGACTTGCACTACAGGAACTCTGGAGAAGGGTTGAGAATGGGACGCTCTTGCAACACATTTTGCTGGCAAAAGGGCTGGCTGACTAAGCAGCATCTGGCTAGTATTGCTCCGCCAGCCCTTGTGGCTGTTTTTCATGGGATTTGAAAACAGAATTTGATGTGACAGGGTACAAAAGCAAGTTCTCTGTAGGCCTTGCTTCATTGGTGTTTCAGCAGCCTTGAATCAAGCACAGCTTTGCCTGTAGTTGTACAGCTACCTCTAGTGTTTCATTTCCAAAAGTATCTTATTGAATAATTTAATGCTTTCTTTCATAGGGAAGTAGACCTCAGATGTTTAGGCATGCCAAATGTAATAGCTTCTGTGTGATTAGTTCTCTTCTAAGGCTGTATTCCTGAAGCTGTTAAGTGGAAAAGAAAATAGGCTGTGCTGCTGATTCTCAAGAGGATTAAGACACAGAAAGCCTGACAAGACATTCTTCTTGCATTTATCCTTTCTCTTCTTTCACCTCCACTGCTAAGGATTTAGTACTGTGGTCTCACTAGAAGGTTCTTCAGTCTTTTTAGTTCTCTCTGAACTCCGCAAGTTCAGCAGACTCATATGAACAGTACATATTTCTTGAACATCCTAAACACAGGATTTGCATAGCAAAACTATTTGCATAGTCCTCCAAAGGAGCCCAAAGTCTCTGAAGACCCAAAGGAATGCCTTTCCTGAGCACAAGTAGTACCAGGTCCCGTTCCTGGTGCGGTGCAGTATCTTGGCAGTCCATCCTTGATGAGCAGAAGTAGGGTGATCTGTAGCTGCAGAGCTCAGGTGAAACAGCTTGACTGACACACAGCTTTTTCCTCGCTTCAGCATGAGCAGTGCTTAAAAACAACACTTCCACAGAAGCTCAGATGCTTTTAGTTGCTGGTATTTCCTTAGATGCAACCGTCTCAGTGTGATGCAGTAGCAATAAAACGCCTGTGTAACAACAGACCTAAACTCCCCTTGGTGTTAATAAGAAGGCTGCTTTTACAAGCTCATTTTGCTGTCACGTAAGTGTGAGTTGATGGTGTACTTGATTATATCAGTGCAGGAACATGACACCTTTGCAACACTGAGACTTGCACTTGTCTAGAAGCAAGAGTAGTGTCCAAAGGTCTTGTTAGGACAAGATTTTGAGTGTCAGGAGAAAGTTCTGCACTTCTAAGAAAGCCACAGATCGTATCTCACCCAGGCTGGATGTGGCCTTGGGCAGCCTGGTCTAGAGGTTGGCGACCCTGCCCTTGGCAGGGGGGTTGAAACAAGATGATCTTTGAGGTCCATTTCAACCTAGGCCATTCTATGATTCTATATCTGTGCAACTCCTGGAAGATCCTGAGGTTGCTTCCTGCGTTTCGCCCAAGTGTCTCCAAATTGATGGGATGTGGAATGGGAAAATGGTGCCTGACTAGGCTGAAGGGCTTTAGTATAAAACTGTACAGTAGAACTGCGTAAGGAAAAGGAGCTTAGCTTAAGTACACCACAGTTGTGCATTTTAAAGATATGTTTTTGTTGCTTTGTCTGGCATTGGCGATGGGTCAGGTGTTTCTGCAGGGCGAGAATGTCAAGAAATTTTGCTGAAACTATTTAAGATTCTATATCCTGGGTAACTGCCATGCCCCGTTTCTGGAGCAAACATCTTCTACAGCAGAACTGCTGGAAGATAATGTGTATGTACCCCTGGCACTTACACATGTCAGTGTGAACAGTTTATAAAATTAATTGCAAAGCCTTGGCCCTCCTTTAATTCTGAGTCTGCTTTGTGGCAGTGACCTTTGCATATGGTGTGGTGATCTCCTGAACCTCTGGGACTGTCTGCTCAGTGATCACAGCAGAGATCTTCTGATGCTGATGTATGGACTTTCTCATTTAGTTTGCTTAGAAAAACTAGTGCAGTAAGAGAAAAGTCATGTGGGACTGCAGCTTGTTTTGCTGCTTTGAGGTAGGGACAGAAAAATTTAGCAGTGAGTGATCAAGTGACATAAACGCAAGCAGCTTCCTCCAGCCAGCAGAAAGCCCATCTCTGCTTATAGAGCTGCTGCCAGCTGAACTTTGTCTTGGCTCTGTGCAATTGTATGTGTGACACCCAAGCCACCAACAGACAGGAACAGATTCCTCTGAAGCACTGGCTTTGGCTGTCCTTGGAGCTCTTAATGCTGCTGCTGGGATTGTTCCTTTTTCTCCAGGGGGTGGATTGACAGGCTCTTCCCCTCTCTTCTTAGAGCCTAAATTTTACTGGCTATATTTATGTTTTCAGTTGCCTTTTGTGGCCTAGAGTAGGTCAGAGTCTCAGCAAGTTCTGCAAAGGTGTGAACTCCTTGGAGTGAACTGGTGAACAAGTTAACCTTGGTGTGAATCTCAGCAATGATGTGTGTTGGGCAGAGACATCAGCCTGACTGCTGTGTGGTATTGTGATTCAGTGGTACTTAGCTGCAGTTCTTTAGGTCAGTGCTAGTAGTGTCCTCTTGACTCAAGGCTGCTTAGTTGCTGAAATCTTTCCCTGGCAAAGTGCTCAAGAATGTACTAAGAGCTCATCTGACTTCTGCTCTGCTCTTTTCATTGGTGCTCATGGTAACTCTTATTTGTCTGGAGATGATGGATTATCCTACTCCAGCATACCTTGCTTACTGTGATGATACAATTGATACTTTGCTGCAGCTGTAAATTTTAAAGCCGATTTGTCTTTCCCAGAAGCTTTTTGTCTGAGTTGGTTGCAATGAGCTCAGCTTTGTTGCAGGAAATGCTGCCTGTAGTTTCACGTGTAGCTGTACTTTGCTTCCAGATAAGCCTATTTGAATAGAAATGTCTGAAAATCTTGCTGTGTTTTCCTTAAGACAGCAGCCTGAGCATGCTGGGTTTGTTGACCTGTGTGATGCCAGATGTCTGGCTTAACTCTTACTTTTAACACACGGGCAATTAATTCAGTGGCAATATGAAGATGTGACCTGTTTGCCAGGAGCTTGCAAGATCGTTCATGGGAGATCATTCTGTTTTGTGCTTACTGTTTTGTGCTGGCTTGAATATTTACACAGACCTATGCTGATTGTGTGCCACCTGCATGTGGAAAGGCTGATGTTTCTGAGCATCAAGCTGTCCTGTTGGTTGGAGGAAGAAATGTTTGTCTTGCCTGTCTGGAGCTACAGCTTGGCTGGAAACCCTGACCATTGCTGCTATATGGAGCACCCAGCTGAAATGGAAGAACTGAAACCATTGTAACCCCTTTGAGTTTCAGACAGCAACTTCTCTTGGCTCTTCTTTCCTCTAAAAACTTTGCTGTGGCTTGGTTTTTTTTCTGCTTTGTGGACCACGAGGACAACTGTGGTTAGATCTCTTTACTGTCTTTGGCATCAGGCTGTCAAATGGAGGCTTGTGTGGTGGATTAATGTAGCACCACATCCAACCATGGAACTCCCAGAGGTTTCTTCTGAGCAAGCAGAGGCCTCTGCTATGCTGTTAACAGATCCGTCAGATTTAGGGATTCCTGTACCTTGGCCTAGAGCCTGTCAATGGCTGTTCTTGACAAAATGGACATTATAGAAGGCTGAAAGTGAGGTGTCATTGCTAATAGGAGCTATAATAGAGCAGTAGAAAAGCAACAGCTCTCAGAAGGAAGTGTGTTTGTGGGGGGAAAAAAAGTGTTCCTTATAGCTTAAGTCTGGGCCCTAACCATTTGTAAGTGTATGAATGAAACATGGGTTCAGTGGGCTCAGGCTTTATTGCCATTTCAAGTTAATTGTTACAGCCTTAGTACAGTGTAAGTGATAATCTGCATGAAGAGAGAAGGCTTAAAGAGAGGTAGGCACACATGTAGACAGGACCATCATTCTGCTAAACTTGAATGTAAGTCAACCAGAAACTGAATATTGAATACTAACCTAAATGAAACTACGTTGTTTAACCTCAGCAAAAATATGCTTTGGGAAATGATTGTGTTTATGTTTCGTAGCATTTGCAGTGCTGCCCTCTTGGAGTAGAGCTTTTGTTTAAAATAGAAACTCTATTTAGACTGTGCTGTTTCTGGTTTGTGGTTGTGTCTTAAGACAGGCTTATCCACACTCATGTCTTGAGGCAAGAAAAATTCTACCTTATGCATTCCTGGCAAATGTATCTTAGGTTTTATCTGGCACTGCAGCCCCTTAAGACTGTGTGTTATGTGTGCGTGTGTGTGTATCCCTATGCATACTGCCTCACTGTAAAGCTTTCCACAGTGTTGAAGTTGCGTGTGCTGGGGTTTAGGCTTTTTATACTGTAGTTGTACAAAGATTCATCACAGAACAAAGCGGTCTAACAGACCTTCCTGGGCCTGTTTGCACTGCTTGGAAATCTCAACCAAAAAGATGAATTGCTGTCTGGTGAACAAATGACAACATGTTCTCATATGCTGTTTAGTTTTAGAAAAAGAGATACACAGCTGGATAGCGATACATTCAGTCAAGGCAAGTCTTGTCTTTGTCACTCAGATCTTGAGCATCTTCCTTAGAGGTGTGGGGGGGAACCAGCAAGCTTTGAGAGAGAGGTTTTGTGGTGATTCTGTGCAGGTGTTCCCCACCTCAGTTTTGGCCCCAAAGTCCAGACAAGAAAAAAACTCGTGGGTGGTAGATCCTCTGAAAATCATGACAAAATCATGACGAAAGTTGGGTCAGTGACAGAGAGAAACAGGAACATCTGCTTTATGCAACCAAGGTGTCATCCAGACCTCAAAATAGCATTTCAGCATCTGCAGATAGAGAACGGATGATAAAGTTCAGCTGTCGGCTTGGTGTTCCCAGCACTGTGGGCCAAGGTGTGGGAAGAGAGAATGGCATCCTTCTGTGCTCTGCCCCAGCCTAGGGAAAACACTGTTTGTCAAGTGCCCGCATATTAGTGAGAAAGGCCCTGCAAGGGTTTTCTCGTCCCAAGAAATGTTTATATGTAATATCTACTCTATATGTAGCACCTGGTTCAGCTCCTTCTAGTCAGGATATTGTATACCTCCTGTATTCAGCTGGCTCTGCACAGAGGAGGCTTGTACGTCCGTGGGAACATAACAGAGCTGGTTTGAAGGTGACAACACAGCTAGAGACAGCCAAGGATCACCTGTGATTGCTGGGTACCTCCCTGAGGAAGTAGTACATACCTGTTGCAGATTTTTCTTCCTCTGGAAGTGACAGTTGTCCAGGTTGGAGTGCCCTCTCTTCTCACACACTGTGCGGCCAATTTCCACGTGGAGCATGTATTTCAGACCTCTGACGATCTAGAGAAAATGGTTTCCTCCTTTAAAGCAGGCTCAGGGGAAGGGATGCTGAAATGAAATTCTGGCTAGGGATCAAGCACTACATCTGTCAGTTGTGTGTGGTGTTGTAGATGTGTTTTATGGGGATGGGTGGGAGTGCCTCATGTGGAGCGGTTAAGTGGGATAGAGGGACTTGTGCTGCTTATGTTAGGGCACTGTAGAGCAGTCCTGAGGAGGATAAAGGCTCCTGTGTCTCAGGTGCTCTGTAGCAAGGGTCGATAGATGGTGGAGGACCACCAGAAATGTGCTCTCTTCTTACCTGTACCATAGCTTTGTTTATTTGCCATTCTTTAAACAGAAATAGGTCGTTGGAACTGTTGTTGTATTGGTAAACCCCAAAGCGAGCTGCCTTGCGAACGCCAGGATTGTTGGTGTTCATTGGTACCGGGAAGCCAGGATTCACGGTTGAATGAGGTGGTGGTGTGTATGTAGCTGGAAAAACACAAAATGCAATCATAGAACATATGCAGTGGCTGAAATAGTGGGTGGTTATTCAGGACTCTGAACCAATCCTAAGCCTTCTTACTTGTCCCATGCACTTCACAGAATCATCACAGAGTGGCTTGGGTCAGAAAGGACCTCAAAGATCATCTAGTTCCGACCTCTGTGCTGCAGGCAAAATTGCCTACCACTAGATGTGCTTTAGGAAGACTGGTCATCTCCATTAAAAAGTGATTTTCCTTTAGATGTTTGAAATAGCAAAGCAACCCATGAAATGGTTGCAGAGCTGAGACTGCCTGAAGGAAGACTGGCTATTGTAAGCACTTAGGAAGTTTCTGGCCCAACACCTATCTCAAAGCAAGGCTGGGTTTGAATCTATCTATAATCTAGAGCATGTTTCTCAGAGTATAGTGTAATTTTGGTAAAATATCAAACACTGACTGGCAGAACTGTACTGCTTTGTTGGCATGCCAAGACATAAGCATACTTCCCCTTCACCTCCCAATAGTTTTGATGTTCTTGTTTTTGTTTTAGGGAAATACAGATTATGATATCTTTCAGTTCCTGAAATACAAGGGGAAGAATCCTCAGCCTGTACAGGTTGTTGTGCTGCTGCCAAGGAAAAGACCTGCCACTCCAGGAGTGGCCCTTGGAGTTGCCTGTGTGTGTAGGCAGCAAGCATGTGCACGCAAACTTGCACTCAAAGCTTGTACTAATTTTCTGCAAAGCTCAAGCTGTTTCTCACCTCCAGCTTTTTTTCACAGCTAGATGTCAATAACAGCTGTGCCACAGAGCATAACCTGTGCATGTAAGCCAGTTTCTACTGAGAAACATAATTTAACTTTCTCCACAGTAGAACAGAGCCAATCCACTGACCCTGTCTGCTTGAAAACAAATGAAACAAAAAACCCCACCGCCAGCAACACAGAGCATTACATGCCACCACCAGTACAGGAGTCATAGAGGCTCATAGACCTTGCAGCCTAGTTCTGGAGATATTTCTCAGGCAGGGCATCTTGTCCTCTGCTCAGCTTGTGGGTAAGATCTTTTCAAAGCATCTGTTTTGTCCCAAATGGAGTTTGCTGTAGGGCTAAGATGGTGGAGCCAACAGGCATTGCCAGGGAGAGCAGCTGTACAGACCTACACAAAGACCAGAAAGAGGCTTGGAGCAGAGCAGGACCTTGATCTGGGCTTTGTCCACATGGCTCTCCTCTTCCTCAGAGATGCAGTGCTCTTTTTTGCACCAGCAATACCTATTAAATAGCTTATTGGATCCTGCTGTTTCTTGAGCCTTCTGAGCTAGCAACTGAGACAAGCTGTCCATTTGAGAGGAGCTCTCTAGCTTGGGTTCTTCTGGCTACTCTTCAGGACTTTGTTTGAATTTATGCCCTTATGTCAGTTGGAAAGGCAGATGTGGCAATGGTGGGGTTGTTGACAACACACGGTATCCCTTGTAGATGGAGGAAATAATATCATTTTTTTCAGTATTAGCACGAGTTCTCTGTGGCTTAATAGCTCTCAGCACTTCTTGAGTCATAGTGACATCCCTGTTAGGTGTGGGATGGCAGGGTGGGGGCAGCTGAAGTCGCACTGCATGTATGGGAAGGAAACACTGAATTGTGTTACTCAAACCAGTGTCCAGAGTGCCCTTATCCCTATGACTGTGGTGCCCCATAGATACAGCAGTCTCACATGTGTCAAGTACTCTGAAATGCGACATCTGGAGAGGTGAGTTTAGTCTATCAAATTGGACCTAGTGTGGTCTAGGCATGTAGCAGGCTGGTAGGACATGCAGCATGTGTCACAGGCAGATGATAGGCTGCTGTATTTTTGCTCCAGCTTTCGCTAAGGGGTACTGGGCATCTTACCTCCTTCACCCAACGTGATTTTCTATTGAGTATGATTCACATTGGGGTAAAGTGAGTATAAAATTTTGCGCACAGTGGTCTGAAATAAGTTTTGCTGTTCAGAATAATTTGCACCACTTTATTTTCTACAAAATCCTGAAACACTCTGGTGTGAGGCACCTGTAGTTCTCCTTACTACAAACTTTTCTGACAGGAGTCCCAGCCTGGGTGGGGGGAGAGGCACTGTGTGGCTTGGCCACGCTGTAAAGCTCTCTGAGGATGTGGTCTCATAGGATGGGAAACAACTTCTACTGCCCTGTGGGGAGAAGCTTTGGGTCAGAGCACTTGTTTTATAGACCTCATTGTACTTCTGGGTTTGAATGTGGAGAAATCTAGCTTCCCTCCTCCTACTTCTATAGGGTAGACTTTTCTTGCTCTGAGTTAGCAGGCAGCTGCCTGTTGTTAAACAAGAGAGGGCTGTTCTTGCAAACGTGAGCCAAGTGTTTTATCAAAGGATCTCTCCTGTGCTTTCTGCATTGAGAAATAACTTGGAGGTCCTGTTCCTGCAGTATGAGAACAATCCTATGGATGTTCCTTCCCAGCCTGCAGGATAGCAAATAGGGAACAGATATTCTTTTCTTTCCCCTCCACGAGGTACTTTCAGAACCTCTTCTGCCATTGCTAGGAGCGAGGCTGGGTTTTATCTTTACATGTAAGACGCAGCAGAGTTCCTGCATGCCTCTGCAACCCCCAGAGGAAACCACAGACGAAACAAAAAGCTGCTGGCTAACCAAAGGCCTGAGTGCATTCATAGTTTCTGCGTGTAGGAACCAAAGTAAAGCTGTAGTAGAGCTAAAACCTTCAGAGAGAAAATGTTCCTGTCTGCTGCTTTCATTCCGAAGATTTAAGGCTAGCTGCCATCAAGAGTGTTTCTTTGCTCAGCAAAGGAAGTGGTAGGGAATAATGTGACACTGAAGTCATCTAAATGGTACAGTCTCAAATGCCCATCTGTACTTACCAGACAAATTGTTTCCCATTCTTTAGATTTAGTAATGAAGGTCGTGCAGAATTTAAACAGTGACAAATAAGTTAAAACCATAAGTTGACTTTGACACTGTTAGATGATGTTCCTGGATAATGTGGCTTGCTACAGGGAGAGAAGGTCTTTCAAGCGGGTAGAGTTTCAGCTGCAGTTGAAGGGCAGCAGACAGAGAAAAAGCCAAGCTCACAGGACCTGAAGCACAAGGAAAACAAATGATTTCCCACTCTTACCATCACAAGTGCAGGTGAAGCCCCAGAGCGCTAAACAGCAAAGAGTGGTGAAGCTGCGGGTGAAGTTTGCTGCCATCTCCACTGCATCAGAAGAGGAGCCTGCCAACGTGAGCAGTGACCGCCCTGCTTCCTGCAGGGGAAGATGTCTCTGTGAGAGCTTTTTATTGGCTGGGAGGGATCCTAAACTCTTTAAAAAAAAAAAAAAAAAAAATCACCCTGAATGATCACAGCTCTGAGACTGCCTGTCTCCTGCTAATGACTGCATGTCTCACAGCCCTGCCAAAGGCTCTGCCCTGATGACTGCAAGTCCCACCTCAGATGGGGACTTTTGCTTTGTGATCCTCAAAGGGCTGTGCAGAAATGTGGGCAGATGTGTGTGATGTAATACCATTCTGTGCTCTGGGACATGTTGTGGGGTAATAAGAGTAACGGTCATATGCTTTAAGTTTCACGGGGAAATGTAACCCCTGTGAAATGGGCAGTGAGCCTTTGCGGTGGGGTTCTTGACTTGTATATGGGTGGCTGCATGTGGGGAAGAGTGACAGAAGATGGGTCTTGCTTCCTAAGATGTGGATATAGCTAAAATCACCAGCTGCCGCATTCAGGAGAGAAGAAAATGAGCTGTCACCACAAAGGGCAGAATATGGTGGACCTCAGTTTGCATATGCGTGCTTGTTTCAGGTGATGAACTGTCCTTCTTTGAGCAAAGCCACCTTATTGCTGAAGTCCTAAACTAGTGTGGGCAGCATGTAAGAAGACAAAGAAGGCTCATTTCAGTATTTCTCAGTTGGAAGAGATTAGGCTGAAATGTCCCTCTGAAAAGGACTGGGGCAAATGTAGTGAGTCACACTTACCATCAGTCCTTCTTGCACAGGGCTTCTGAATCAAACCCAAAAGCCTGGGAAATGTTGAGAGAATGAGAGATATTATATTGGTTGTGGTTTTTGCTGTTTCTTTTTGTTTTGATCTCACATGGTGGCCTGACCTTGGATGCAAGACATCAACACATCTCTGGTGTGTAGCTATAACCTATTTGCCACCCTTCTACATGATGCTCCAGGAAGGAGTTTGAGATTCCCCCATGACTTTTGTCCCTTTCCTTCTCTTTTTGCCTTCTGGTGAGTCATGGCCTTCTAATTTGAGGGGGGCAGGAATGGGTCTGCTCAGGAATTTGGGGGGAATCTTTTAAAGCATGTATTCTTCCTTTGCTTAAAACACGTGCATAGGGAGGCCACTGGCGGAGCAGGTTTGGTGTGAGCGGAGTGATGCCTAACAAAGGCAGAGAGGGTGGTTAGAAGCTCACAGCCTGGTGGGGTGGCAGTGGGGGGCCAGAGCTGCCAGGCCAGCTCAGCTGTTGGCACTAGAGGGCACCAGAAGGTAAGACACCGTGCCAGAGGAGTTATTCCACAGTAAACACAGCGTATGCCTTAAGCAAATAGCTAGCCCTGACCCAGGCCAGATGGAGCCTGTGGGCTTTCTGCTTTAAGCTCGTTAAATGGATCTGAAAGACTTGTATGGCTGAAGAGCTCTTTTCTTCGCGAGGGATTTTGCAGAGTGTATTCGTTCTCGCTGTTTAGCTTGATTGTTAGAAACGGTGTGCAACTGCATGTTCTTTTTTGACACAAATAAAAGCTCACTAATTTTTTTCTCCATAAACAGAGATGCAGTTGCCTCCTCCTTTTCTGCTAAAGAAGCAAAAACATGATATCTGAAGCTTGGTTTTCCTGATGCTTGGTGCATGATTTGGACTTTCTCAGCACTGCTTCTTGCTTCCCTCATTCAAGACAGACCTCTGGCTGCACAGCGCAGTCGTGGTTCTCTGGAATAATGCTGTGTGAGGGTCATGTTGGAATTATGCTCCCATAAACTCAGTCAGCATCTAGCCCTGCAATCCGCAATTTTCCTCTGCAGTCCTGATTCCCTCTTTGCACTTCACGAATCAGTGGGGGGGACTGGGACAAAAAAAATTGTCTCATTAACTTTGGCAGAGGCTTGGAGGATGACTGGAGTGTGTTTGAGTTGTGCTCTCAAAACTTTTAATTAAGACACATTTACCAGTGTCCGTAGTCTTCCTTTCTTTTTTTTTTTTTTTCTTTTTTTTCTTTTTTTTTTTTCTTCTTCTTTTAATCTTTATTACATCTTCCAGGCCTTCATCTGGTCCCCAGGGCAGCTAATTTAGCTGGGTTTGCTTTAATGAAGGATCTGAACAAGAGGATACTTTTTTGGCTCTCAGAAACCACCACATTTCAGCTTTTGGGAGGAAAAATGCCTGTTACTTCGGCGGAGTGGTCAAAACAGACTTCAAACCATAAAGAAGAAAGGTGGATGTGACCTTGTCTTCCACACTGGTGACCTGCACTTTGCAGGTGTTGAAATAGGTTGAGGTACCGAGAAAGGACAGTCCTATGAGGAAGGAGCAGGATAATGAACCTTACCAGCCCATCTTTCCTAAGTGGGAAACCATACAGCTCACATAGCATCAGGTTTTTAAGTACAGAATCACCTTGGAAAGCCACAGGATGCTGGTAGCCTTCAGAGCAGGCATAAGGAAGGACAGGTTTGGGCAGACACAAGGGAAGAAAGGAAATGGTTCAAAGTACAATTCCTTACAGAGGATTAAGTCAGTAAGGAACCCACACGGCACAGGTTGGGATTATGAATCTGCCTGCTTGGTATCAGCAGGACATAGAGGAGAAACAGGAAAGTGACACTGGTGGGTTGGTCTCACCTGAGGCATTTTCCTCCCTGTGCACCCTTCTGGGAGCTGCTCCTCAGCTCATCAGTACCTGTCTGAGCCTCTGCTGTGGAGGCAGCTGTGATTTTTTCAAATGAATCAAGGCTCACATAGTTACATTTGTGTTTCTATCAGCAATAATTTTTGAACAGATTAATTTCAATTAAATACGAGAGCGTGCTGGAAGACTCGAGGATAATTTGGTTACCATATGTTTCTAGAGAAGAAACACCCAAATGAATAGCTGGGATGAGAGGAGTGAGCACAACTTTGCCATCATCCAATCTGTCAACAGCACTGTCAGCTGGTTTACAGAGACTGCTTACAGATTGCACTGTGGGGCATTTATAAGGGATGAATGGATGTAAAGACTTCTTTGTATTTTACCTTGAGGCCATGCTTGTATTAGTCTTGAGATGAACAAGCCTCCCAACCCCTCTTTCTCCCAAATAAGATTTTAAAGTACTGTATCTGAGGACAAGCTTGCTCCTTTCTGTAACCACTGTGATGATAAAGATGTGCATTTTACTGAGATCCTGCTGCTGTTCTCACTGTGGCATCCAAGAATTGCAACTTCAATTTAAAATCAGCTAGATTCTGAATGCCCTTAGTAAGAGCAAATCCTCTAACATGAACTTGATATACAGATGCCCACACCAAATCCTCTAACCCTTTAACCCTTTAACCCTGAACCTTCTCGCAGAGAATGGCTCAAAGGGGAGCCATTCATGTAAGCCACCCTGAACGTATTTTAAATGCAGCTAAGCATCACGTTCACAGTTTTGTTGGAGGATGCTGATCAGGAGGTGATGGTGACTGCAGTGTTCACTTAACCTTTCTATATTTGGCTTGTTTTGCTAATGACCATCTCTGGTCAGGGCTGCTCGCTGCACTTAGCACTGGGCAAATCCTACTTTGTGTCAGAGCTTTTTGACAAGACAATAACCTACAGTGAGGAAAGTGCTGATACTCCAGCTCTTGCTCCTCTGGCACCTCGCTTTCTCAGATGATGGTCCACACGCGGTGGCTTCTCTGTCCACGCTGTCTCTCTTCAACATGTTGCTGAATATAGTTGAGAGATTGCATGCAAGACCCTGCAAGCCTCTGAGCAAATGAATTCAGGCTGAGAGGCACTGGGACAACCAGCCAACTGGGGGCCTGTTTGGAGGAGTGCCCACCTAGACAAGTAGATCTTTTTGTTGTCCAGTTTGAAAGAGCTCAGAAGTACATTGTGATTGATGCCATATGCTAGTGCCAGGACAAGAGGTAGTGGGCAGAAACTGGAACACAGAAGGCCCATCCTGACCATGAGGAAGCAGTTCTGTGCTGTGCAGGACCACTGGCACACACTGTCCAGGGAATTTGTGAAGCCTTCTTCTTGGAGATCTTCAGATGTCACCTGAGAGTCCCTGCTGAAGCAGATAGACGCATGGTACCTTCCTACCTCAACCAGTCTGTGATTCTGTGAAAACACCAAAGTCTTTCTGTTAGACATCAGCTACCACGATAGGCAGTTAGAAGTAATTAACAATCTCTAGTTCATTAGTGTAAACATTCACAGCTGCTGGTTCCCACTGCTTTGTGGTCACTGTGAAGGAAGTGGGTCAGTGTCCCTCCACAGAGAGGGAAGGGGTTGTCCCAGCAGTGGAGGAGGATGTTGGGTTTTATATTTTGGTGCATCTGCATGGGATCCCACACCAAAACAACTGTGAATTCATTGTGACGTGTCCCCAAACTTGTGTTGAGGAAGTGGCCGAGAAGTTTTTCATTCCCTCTGGGGGTGTGATGCAAAGATGGCATTACCTATTTTAGTGCTTTTTTTCCTGAATGTCTTGCTAATGAAATCATCAGGTACTCATCTGGTTTGCACTGGACCTGTGGAAATGATGTAGCATGTTTTGGGTACTCAGTACTGGCTGGTCATTTTCCAGGCACACTCTCTTCCTATTTGCTGGCCTCACTGCTTGCTGTTGTATTTAAGAAGTGTCCTTTGACAGGACAGATGCTGTTGGCAAGAGAACAACAGATGTTTTCAGGCTGAAGAACAGGGTGTTGGGAAGTGATGTGGACATGTGTGTCCCCGGGCTCAGCAGCATGCCTGGTTTAAAAACTTGTTTGGTAGAAAGAACTGCTCTTAGGTAAAGAGTGTGGAGGGGATCACCCAAGCCTGGATGTGCTGTGCTCACTCTGCACCATCATCAGAAGATGATTGCTTCTCTTTTGTGGGGAAAATTGACTGACCTCTTGGCTCCAGATGCGTTGAAAGTGTTTATCACAGCATCCCTTGGGAAAGGACACAGAGAAGCAGCAGAGGGACGGAGCTACTAAAAAGCCATTGAAGTGGCCAAAGTAGGGGTCACAGTGAGGGGCAGTCTCAGGCTGACAACCCTGAGTTGCTTTTCAGAGCAACATTGTGTTTTATCTGTTTAGAATCTGACTTGGCACGATCCAAGCGATGTAAAGGAAGTGCTTGACAGAGCAAGGCATATTGGTGCTGCAATGCAAGCCTGTGTCTGCAATGCAGCACACGCTGCAGGTCTCCCTGTGTGAAGAAAGGCAAACCTATGCTCTCTAGAAGCATTTAAAAATGCCAGCCATAACTTCATGGAGCTTCTCTGTCTAGCAGGCACACAGGTACTCAGCTGAATACCTGGATCTGACAGCCCCAGTCTACCATGGCTATGCTGTGTTCCCTTTTACTGCTGCTACCAGCTCTTATTCTTTGCTTCAGATCTGTGAGTAGCAACAACAAGCTGACCTGAGGGGAGCTGGACTGCGTTTTTGTATGCAGCTTGCAGCACCACATGTGCAGAATGCTCCCAGTGCAAGGGGGTGGGGATCAGAGATGTTCTCCCAGAGAGAGGGGAGAATTGTGTTCTGAATCTGATATAAATGAAGCAAAGGAATGTCCATTACCCTGATAATGCAGGTAGAGTAGTAACTTTGCAGGTATCCAGATCCTGTGTAACAAATGAAGCCCCCTCCCTTCTCTGCAGTCTGGGCAGAAGCCCGTCTTCAGATGCAGAATCCAGCACTGTTCCTGTTAAACTTCATGCAGTGGTCATTGCCCAGCTTTCTGATTTGTCTAGATCTCTCTGTGAGGCCTCTCCATCCTTCTGAAATTCAACAGGTCCTCCCAGTTTAGTGTCATCTGCAAACTTGCTTAGTTTGCAGGACTTCTAGTCCTACATCCAAGTCATTTATGAAAACATCAAAGTGAACTGACCCTAAAATGGAATCCCACAGAACCTCATCAGTGACCACTTGCTATCCTGATGTAGCCTCATCTAATATGGGCCCTTTGGGCCTGACCCATCAGCCAATTGCTCACCTATCCATTATGTTCCTGTCTACCAATATGCTGAACATTTTGTCCAGGTTACTGTAAGAACTGTAAGAAATGCTATTGAAAGCTTTGCTGAAATCCAAAAGGATTACATCAACTGACTTCCCTTGGTCAGCTAGGTGAGTAACCTCATCATGAAAGGAGATTAAGTTCATTAAACAGAACATTCCCTTCATGAAAGACCAACATGGTGGGAACATGTCGGTAGTAGGAATGTTGTTCTCTGGTCCTTCAACTGGGCTGTGTCTGAAGGTGAAAGATGCTAAGAGGTGAGGATCCGGCTCTGGCAGTGGGAGCAAAGCTGCAGGAGGGGACCAGGCCTCCCTGGAGCTCACCTTCTCCAGCTCCGAGCACACAGCTCACACTTAGGAGAAAGACCTCTGAGCTGAAAGTCTGGAGAGAGGAGAGGATTTCTTCATTGTTCTCAGATTGTGAAGGTGAGAGGCAACAGAGGTGATAAGGGACCTGCTACTGGCAGGGCAGCAAGGAGCTCTTGCTGTAGGACAAGGGGAACTGGTTTCACACTAAAGAAGAGAAGATTTAGATTGAATATATGGAATAAGTGTTTTACAATAACAGTGGTGAGGCACTGGCAAGGGTTGCCCAGAGAAGTGGTGGATGATGGGCTGGAGACATCACTGGAGACATTCAAGGTCAGGCTGAACAAGACTTTGAGCACCTTGATCTAGCTGTAGACATCCCTGTTCTTTGTAAAAGGGTTGGGATAAATGGTCTTTAAGGGTCCTTTCCAAGCTTTTTAACTCAAACAATTCTGTGATTCTATGATAATTTATCCAATAGCATTTGTGGGGGTTAAGAGGTTGTGGAACTTGGTCAAGATTGTCAGGGTCAGTTTACGAGCTCTAAGGAGACTTAAACAAGTAACTTTGGCATGTAGAAATATAAGCATCTTTTGCAGATGTACCCTCATCCTGCAGGATCTGTATGTCTTTCTGTAATGAGGCCTTGCCAATTAACCTGAACACACGCTCTCTTTTCAAGGGTCACTTGCTTGTAGGAAGATATTATTCAGAAAACCAAGGAACGGTGTCATTTTCATGAAAACTCAGCAAAGCAGTTATGTCATGGAATGGCTGGAGGAATTTATCTTCTTTTCCCATGTGTGACTATAATTTTTTTGGTAATACATCAGGTAAGAAGGAAAAGGTACAGTAGAGCTGAGCTCATGCAACTATGAAGCAGATTCTTGCTCCAGTTGGGGCTAGGAGTCCGGAAATCCATATGCTCTGGGTGGCACTACGGGCAGGATTCCCTCTTGGGGTTGATAAAAGACAACATATGTTGATACTGGAGCATGCTGAAGTGTTGGCTGCGATTCAACCAGAAGCAAAGGAGTTTGTTTCTTTCCCTCTTGTTTCCCAGGTATGGTAAGGGAGCAGCACTTTTCATGAAAGAGCTTAATGCACATCTGAATGTCAGCCTCCTCTCCTCTTGGCACAAACGCGGTTTCCATCCTAGAGCTTCCTTGAGATCCAATTAGCATCAAATGGTAAATAATCTCCAATAGCTTGGTGTGTCTGCCTGACTTCAGCACTGGGACCATGCTGCTAAATTCTGCAGATCTGCAAGAAAGCTGGAGTCAATAACTAAGAGGGCTTTCTCTTGATTAACAGCCTGCGACCTGTAAGTCAACACCTATTTAATTTTATTTTATTATGTCTTCTATGGCTCTGTTTAAACAAGAGAAGCAGCTGAGTACTGACAGCCGATTCATGACAGGCTCTTGTGTATGTGTGTGAATAGGAAAGCTTTTGGCTTTATGTTGGATATATTTCATTTTCTTCTTCAGAAATGCACCTGTTAATGAGGAGCTTTTGGGAATTGAACAGCCAGCTGTCAAGCTGCTGGGATGTCTTACATATCAGTCCTGTCACACAAAAACCCTGTACAATGAGCTGAGCTCTGCTATTAGCAGTTGTAGAGAGTGTGGACACGTTGACAACTGCTGATTGCAGTGACACTGGATTAGGCTTGAAAATCTTCTCCCAGGCAATATCCAGCCAGTATAGAAATGCCTAGGGGCACTGGGGCCAGCCTGACCCTGGGACAAGCAGAAGAGCTGTTCCACTGCAGTGGAGCTCAGGAGCAGGGATTTGAAAAAATCTGCATGAGGCTGTGAATAAGAATAGAGGATAACTCTGAATGCTGATCTAAGGCAGAAGTCAGAGATTAGGTGCAAAAAGCAGAGGGGAAGTCTTGGGAAATGGACCTGGGTGGGAACACCTTGGGGTAGCTGGGGAGCAGAGGGGGAAAGGTTGCAGAGATGCTGTGTGTGTTCAGTGTGTATGTTGGGCATGTTCCACACTCAGGCACTGTGGGAGAGCACCCAGGTTGGTAAGGGCATGCTTGTCTTGTTGTCATGCCGGGGTCCTGGATCTCAAGGAGCAGCTCAGTCTCACTAGAGGGAAAGTAGTGGAGGACACAAGCACCACTGCGTCGCTGTCGGATAGGTCCACGTGGTAACACAGTTGTCTTCTTGGAAACTGTGGTTCCGCTTCCCTTCTCTATCAGCTAAACAGACCCATATACACATGACATGTAAGCATCTCTTCCTCCTGCAAAACAAAACACAGAAAATCCAGGATCTTCCTGAGAATGGTAATGGGGAACCTTCATGCCATCTCACTGTTTTTCCATTGCAGCAGTGGGTGTTGTTCCCTTATGGATGATTTCTACGCATCCCACAATAACAGTGTAAGAATGAGTGTTCTTTAGGGAAGTAAAGGGCTGATAACAAAGCATATTTTTGAGGCTCATTTGTAGTTCACGTGGCCTTTTGTGTCCTAGTACTTGCCAAATGGGAGCTACATAATTTCTCTGAGCTAGAGCATTTTGTTCTGGACAAAATGAAGAGTTCTCTTGAATCCACTGAGCAGTGAGGATAAGCTGTCTCCTACTCAGCTCTCCCAGTTGAAAGCCTGAGCCAGATTCATTGGAAGTCATCATCCAGTGAATGGTTTATGAGCAGAGTGGGTGGAGGTCACTCAATGTCTCAGAGTAGTCCAGGGGAAGATGTAAGACCATTTGTGCAGCCTTTCTTTGGTTTTGGGTAATGTTTGATTTTTCAAGCACATGTGCATACTGGAACCTCTTTCAAAGCACCTTTTACAAGTTGTTGCACTGCTACTGCTACCCAGCTAACCGTTGTCATTTTAAACCAGTATTCTTTTTTCTCCAGTAGTTGCATGAGGTTTTCAGAGTGGACAGATTCAAAGGTAACTTGTGGGAAACGTAATTCAAAATTCCCCAGCTTTTTAGATATTTAACTATATATATATTTATACTGTATTTTAGCAATGTTATGTTGAAAGAATCCATGCAGAGTATGAAGCTGGAGTTATCAGTCTGGAAATAGTCCAGGACAGCCTGGGCTGTGCTGTGTGAGTGCATACCTCTGCTTGGTTCGCTACATTGGTCACAGTGCAGTGCCCACAGGTAGAAATGCAGTTATAAGATGTGAGAGTGCTTTTACACCAGGACAACTGATTTTGGTTGAGTGACCCATATACACCTGGGTGTACTTTTAGGCTTGCTAACCTCGTCTGCTCTTCATGGGCTGTTTCACATGAATTACTCTCCATGGGCAAAGCAGGGAGCTCAGAACTGCAGCAAGGCTTCCAGCCAAAGCCTCGGCGCATCAGCGGGAAGAACATTGGTGGATTTGGGATGAAGCCTGATGGCTGTAGAACTTAATGGCAGGCAGCTCTCCAACAAGATCTTCCCCAGCCTGATGTCCTCATTTAGTGTGTGGTCATCTCTGATCTATTTGCATTGCTGAGCTGCTCTGTTACTGTGCCTGAGCTCTGTTCCCTTCACTTATGGCTTCACATTACTGTTGCTATTTGAGCTTGGCAAGTTCCTGCCTCCATCATTAAAAAGAAAGAGAAATTTCTTTTCCTGCTTCTTAAACTTCTGTACTACTGCATTTTATGCTGTGCACATACAAATGGTAATAAATTCAGTCATTTTTGGTTTAAATGTAATCCCTTAGTAATTGCCATCTACTTTTTTTTTATGGGTAGCAATACCTTAGCTTTACAAATGCAAGAGCTGGAGTTTTCTGGCAGTGTCCTAGGGAAGCTTTACTTAATGAAAGTAAAAATTCATTGGGAAGGCTTAAATTAGATGACTGCAGAGAACTCTCTCTTTTTCACAGATCATGGCAGAATCTATTCCTCAAGAAACCCACCAGAATCCTCACAGGGATGCAGGGGCTGTAGGGCAGAGGAATCTCTTCTCCTTCTGGAGGTCTATGGGGTGGACTACTTGAAAAGTACAGCTGGAATGAGGCTCAGGTCCCAAAAAGCCAAGCCCGGTGGCTATTTCAGCTTTATCAACAAGCAGTGGCTCTGCTTGAACCCATGACCTTCCCCTTCCATTCCAGAGCTGGGGGAGTTCTGTAGAGCTGCCAATGGCCTCGGGAGTGGGCTGGTACTGATTTACACACTCCTGGTTCACACTCGCCATGGCACTGTGAACAGCAGTTATTAATGTCATCTTTCTTTCCTCTGGCAGTTTTCTTTTTCATCTTTTTATCTATCCACACTGTGAATAATAACACCCCCCAAATCTCTCTGACACACGCATGTACAAAGCACAGAGCAGCTTTTTGATAGTCACATTGAGCAAACTTCCAAGAGAGACTCTGGGTAATTTCCATCTCCATTTCCCCATCAGATCATTAAAACGAGGCAAGTAAAACATCTCAGAATAAAAGTGGCAGGCACGAAAGAAGGCTTTTAAATATTAGTAGCTTTAAAATTAACGTTTGATATAATTTCATGCTGACTTTTGATTACCAACACCTTTTACAAAGATCAGCTATAAGATCTGAATTTTTTATTGTGCATTCCCAGGGAAGTAAAACTCAGCTATTACCACTGCAGTTTGACCTCTGTACCCTTAGCAAAGTGCTGTTCCTTAGTTGCCATATGCTACCAAAAGGGCTATGATTTTAATTACCAGTCAATAAACCACCTTCACGTTTTTCATGGTAATAGACTTTAAAGGAGTTATTTTTCCTCACTAGTTATATAGCAGCTCTTAAAATGCTATTTGTTGGGTATAGACTGAGGTCACCAAAAGTCAAAGAGGTGTCATTTGCCAACCTCATTCCCATTGCCTGGGGTTTTCTGGGACTGTCAATTTTTCCATGCCAAAGCACAGAGACAGCACTATCAGTTTAGCATTCCAACCTTATGTGTCTGTGCATGCACGATATTGCAGGTATGGTCTCTTCTGCTGGCAGGAGGGCTTCCTGCGGGGTCCCTACTTTTATTGCTGCCTCTGGCTGTGTCCAGGAAGCCATAAAGTGTAGGAGAATGTGGGAAATGGGGAAGTTAAATGCAGGAAGATTCAGCACTGAGGACATGCTGTTTCACAGAGAGGGACAAATCCTTTTGTCTCCACAAGTTACCTTGCAGGAGATGGGGGGCTGGCACACCTGAAAACTTGTGCAAGCCTGGACTCAGCTTTTTCCTGCAAGAGCAGATTGCAAGGATTCCTACAGACGTGGGCAAGTCGATTGCTGCTGGAGGTGCAGAAGTGAGTATTATTCCATGCTCACGGCAGGCTGCGGGGAAACGAAATGGCCATGAATAAAAACATCAGCATCTGGCCCAGGAGACTCCCTTGCAGCTAGAAGGCTGACAGCAGGGAAGCCCAGGGGGATGGCAGTTGTTAGTTTGACTCATCGATCGTGGCACACAGCTGATCTAAATTCAGCTATGGTGTAAAGCCCTGGGCGAAGGAAGTGTGAGGGCCAGGAATGTTTTCTAGAAAAGCAAGCACCATCATTCACCATTCAGTTAGCACTGAGAAAGTGCACGGGATGTATGTGGGCTGATGGTGCTGAGAGAGCTTTGCCAGAACAGGGAGGATATGCAGCACCCTGGTCCTCAAACAGTGGCACAAATGGTGACAAAAATTCCAGGCTGCCTCCTCCAATTGATTCATCTGTGTGAGGTCCTGGTCCTGCTGTAGGCTCTGATCTGGGTCAGCACACTGCACATATGAGGCCACCTAGAGGACAGGAGCTCTATCCTGAATGTAACACTAATGCTGGTGAGCAGCTGTGATGTGGTCCCTCCTGACAAACCTTGCACCCCATGAACCTGCAGTAAGACTCCCACTGTGCCACTTTTGTAGAGTTATTAAAGCAGAGCACAGGGAGGGGAAAAATGTTTGAACCCTCCAGGTGCTGACAGCTGCCCCAAGCACCTCTCTGGGGTTCTTGTTGTCCATGGCCTGTGCTGAGGTTAAGGTAACTTTGCTAGAAGGGCATGCTTGCTAACCCACAGCCAGCCAGGGGTTGTGAGGCTGGCTTGCTTTTAGTTGTCTTGAAATGGTTGTTACCCTTGGGAACGAGGGCAGGAGGGAGAAAAAGACTGTTCTCTGCTCATCACCTTGTGTCTGTGTAACAGAGGCAGCCGGTGCCCAGCAGGTTGAGAGCCAGCACTTCTGCCTTTGCTCAGCCTCTTGGATCCCAGATTGTACAACATCTTGCACCAGCCTCCAGGAAAGGGGACTCCAGCCAAAATCATGCTATGAGACACATATATTGTGCTACAGGGAAAAAGTGGAGCATCCTGGGAATATCTGCATATCATCTGAATATCTGCTGCATCATATTGTCTCATTGACTGTGGGACTGTGAACTCTATTTCTGGTGGCCGATGGCACCAAAACATGCTTTGGCTTTCTGCAGGTGATAGCCTTCCATGCTGTGTGTATCCCAGTTGGCTCAGAGGTAACATCCCAGGCACAAAGACCATGTAGAAAGAGCAAGAAGTGAGATGGTGCAAGCGTATGTGCCCAGGCACTCTTTAGTACTATTTGATTTCTAATGTCTCCAATATGGTTTTTGACCAAGATCAACCTAGCAGTTTTCTCAGTCATGGCTTTGTAGTTATCACAGATCTCTGATAATTCCCAACAAGCAACTTGGATAAGAGTTTGAGGGCATGTAGTAGCAAATAGTAAGTATCAAGTAGTAAGCAGTGCTACTGGGACTATTGGATATCAGAGAATGAGTCTGGCCTCCTCAGTCTGTTGTAGGTATAGATGTAACCCGGATTACCCAGAAATGTGATATATAATGATATGTGGCTATCTCAGCTTTTAGGGATATAGAGTAGTGGGCATGGTGGTGATGGGTCCATGACTGGACATGATGATACTAGTGGCCTTTTCTAACCTTAATGACTCTATGATTCTATGACAGCCTAGGAGTGGCCTAGATATGTTCTTTCCTGTAATGTAATTGTAAATGGATTTTGCTTCTAAAACACCATGACATTGATTTCCTACAAAGTGACAGTCTTGTCTCATTATCTTGATTCATTTGTTATCTGTTGGATTTTAATAGCAAAGATCTGAAATCTGATGATTAACCCCCACCCCCAAAAGAAAAAAAGTTCAGAGCCATGTTACATCTTAACAGGAGCTTCAAAAAGAAGCATGACAGCTGTGTTTGGGAAGAAATTCACACTATTGGAAGTCTGATGGCAGGGAGTCTCAAAACAAAAGGAAGACATTGAAGGATGAGAGAGACAGAAATCTTGGATAGTAGAGGCAAACAGGCAGATACAGTCCCCCTGACAGGAAAAGTCATACAAACTCTACGCATCCAAATACATTTGACACGCAGAATCATAGAATTGTTTAAGTTGGAAGGGACCCTTAAAGGTTGTCTAGTCCAACTCCCCTGCAGTGAACAGGGACACCTACAGCTGCTGCTTCTGAATTTCTGGGTTGGAGCACAAGTGCCTACTGCTAAATCCAGAAGAAGGAAGGAGTGAGTACAGAATGTGCACAGAAAATATCAGGTGTAGGAAAAAGATCTTTGAAATGGGCAGGGATTCTGGGGTAAGGCTTGTCTGTTGTGTTATGAGATTTGTAATGCAGACTTATTACCTGGGTCCTTCGGGCTCCCTGAAATGTGGCAGGTAAAAAATGACATGCTTGCTATGATCCCTCAGGATGCCAGCTGAGCTGCTTCATCAGAGTGATGCTGCTGGTTGAACAAGCCACATTAGCTCAAGATTGACTGGCCCATTTGCAGCATGAAAGATCAGCACCATTAGCAACAGTGAAGGTCTATGCTCCCTGGGGTTACTGCTGGACTGGGGGTGTCAGGCAGCTGCCTGTGTAGCTGTGGTGGTGAGGAGCCCACTCTCCTGCAGCTGGACATTATGCTGTCTCCTGATCAGTCTAAACTTCTTTGTCACAGCATTTCCCTCATTGGCTCCGTGGCTGGGTGCACATAAGGATTGTTCATTTTGGAATCATTTGCTGGCAGCAGTACAGTCCTGGTCCAGAGTGGATGTTGCTTGCATGGAGCAGCAGTGAGCTGGGAGCAGAGAGCTGCCCAGAATTTCCTTGGGAGCAGTGAGTCTCCATCATGGTAGCCTCAATGCAGTGCCGGCACTGTGCTCAGTGTTAGGACCCAAAGGGTAACCAGGACAAGGAGGTTATGGGACTGATTAGTGATAGGCGCAATCACAGCTTTCCTGTACATTGCATTGCCCACAGGGCTGGAGCTTAAACCCTTGGGAAGTGACTTCTCTTGGCTGGTGGATGGTGAGACAGCACTGGCCTGATGTCACCTCTTTCATAATGTGTAAATATCAGGCAGACCCTTCAGGCTGTGGTGGTGGCGAGGCTCAAGTTGACAAAAGTCTAAATTTGCTGAGGAGGAGGTCCAGGCAGTGAGCCAAAAACTGTGCCCTGCTATGGGGTTGGGCTCCCTGGGAAGAGCTCTTGGTTCGGAGCACCAGAGTTGACAGGCCTAGCAGAACAGTCCCAGAGGCTGAATGTGTCTCACGAGAAGCTTCTGGGCTCATGCCAAATGCGCTTGAAGTGTTTTTACTAACTTGGTCCTGGAATAGGAAAGGTTATGTGCAGGAGAACCAATGTGCACAATGTGCGGAGAGAATTTATAACTAAATGAAAAGCCTGTGTTTGGAGTTGTGCTTAATTGGTTTTTGAGACCCAGAAAGCCACACAGTGTCCTTAGGCTGTGCTTGCTTTTATTTAAGTGGGAAAGTTTTCGGAATCCCTGGGAGAGAGAGAGCTCATGTGACAGCAGATGAAAAATGGGAGGCCTGAAGCAGTGGCCTTATGTTAACTTCAAGCTGGAAGAGACTCAAATTCGGTGCAAAGGCTTCTTTGAGGAATGATGGAGACAACCTTGCTACCATGCACTAAGAGAGGCATGTGGGTTTTTCAGGTCAGAAGAAAATCTGTGTGGTACTCTGCTAGTAATGACAACAGTCATATTTGCTGGGCTGTGTTGTGTTTTACTGCTGGGGACTGCAGATAGATTGAAAGAATGGACAACGGAAGATATGGTTTCTCTTTTTCAGCATTCCAGGCAATTTTGAGATAAATGAATGATGTTCCTAACTGATCTTCAGTCTTTTAAGAGCCACATCTGACCATCTGTCTCCAATTAGTTCCCCCAGCCCTGCAGTCTTCTCTCTTTGAAGTTCACACACTTTTCTTTTTGGTACAATAATAATAAAGAATATACTTCAAATACTTCAAAGTATTACCAAAGTTTCATTCTGCCTGTTAAAAGCACTGTAATTCCACCCCTCTGGGAAGAGATGGGGCAAGATAAGTGAGGTGAAATTTTCTTGGGGTTTCATTCACTGAAGAACCATTATTTTTATTTCTGAACTATTTGACTGTTGTGGCAGTGATAGGATGAGAGGGAACTGCCTCAAGTTGTGCCGGGGGAAGTTCAGGTTGGATATTAGGAAACATTTCTTCTCGGGCAGAGTGGTGAGGCACTGGGCTGCTGCCTGGGAAGATGGTGGAGGCACTGTCTCTGGAGGTGTTTAAGAACTGCAGAGATGTGGCACTGAGGGGTATGGTTAGTAGGCATGGGGGGGGGGGAGTTGATGGTTGGACATGATGATCTTACAGGCCTCTTCCTACCTTAATGGTTCTGTGATTCTATGATTCTAGGCAAGGCACGCAGATTAGGATTCGAGAGAATTGTGTTCACTTTCATCTCTGTAGAGCAACTCCTACCTTGAGAGTGCATGTACTTCATATGGTTTCTTTCTCTTGTTCCTAGTCATGTCCTGAGCCACAAACGGACTATGCAAACTCTGTACTCCCTCCTGGCAGTTTGGTCACATGTTCTTAAGGCCAGCTCCAATACAGTGCAGCTGAGGAATGGAAGAAAGCAGATGTCACTGCTGTTTTCGAGAAGAGCACAAAGAAAGATCAGAGGAACTACAGGTTCATCAGCCTCATCTTGATGTCTATGAAGCGATTAATCCTGGAAACCACTTATAGACACATGGTGGACATGAAGACTATCAGGAGTAGCCAGGAATTTACTTGAATACACTGTTGTTTTATCTGAAATCCTCTGGAAAGTTAGAGTTACTATAACATGCTTTATGCACAATGGGAAGTATGCATAAGGCCAAGGGACAAAATAACAAAGAGCAACCTTTGAATAACACCTTTGACCCTCTAGACTCGTATTAACATCTGCTAGGCAAGGAATACACTCTCAGAAATATCACAGAAAACACCACCAAAAGTGACTTCCAAAAACTTATGTAGAACTGTAGGTGTTTAATTTCTGTAGCTAATAGACAATATTGTTTGCACATGGCATAGTTATTAAAAATAAGTTATTCAGGCCTCACCTTTGTATTGTGTAACAACATTTTTAGATAGATCAAATTAATTGAACATGTACATCATTTGCAGAACACCATGTGATATGCCTAGGTCTGGTTAGTTAATGTGTCCCCCAGAGTCTTCTTTTTCAGCAGGTACAGTTTTGTTTAATTTTTCTCCCTTTCTGAGCAGAGAGAAGTTGAAGAGAAGAAAAAGCCTATGAATAAGGGAAGAAAATATTTACATTTGTACATGCTATATATCTGGGGAGAAGCTAAGAATGGCTTTCTGTGTACAGCCGTTCAGTTAGGCAAATAGCCAGAAATTAGTGCTGATGGCTCACAGAAACACAGAAGGTACCTCTGAAGACCATCTACGTCAATCCCCCAAACAGGGTCAGGTAGAGCAATCACAGCTTCATGTATTAATGCTTATTTCTCATATAAAAGGCAACTCCTCACCTTTGCTGCCCCAACCAATTCCACATGAAAAGCCTACATCCATCCACTGCAGCCCTCCAGCGTGGGAGCTACAAGCATACACCTCCCAGAGGCAAGAAGATCATCTCTCTTGTTCCAGCTTCCACGAGAGGCCCAGGTCTGTAGCTCTGAATCCTTTCTCAGGAGCACTTGCAGTGGTTGGTGTTGGGCTGTGCCCTTCTATGTGTCACCACCATTGCCGAGTACACATTTCTTGGCTTTTTTCTGTGTATCCTTCTGTGCAAGCTTGTGCATGTCTGCAGCTTCTGCTGCAGCAAGAAGACCAATTTTTAGTGTGCTGTGTGCAAACACCACTTGATGGAGGTGAAAAACCTTTCTTATTCCTAACCGCAGGAGCGAGGAATTCACTTATGGAGGAAGACTGCAAAACACACATTATTTCTCCTCCAACCTCCTGCTGATTATATCCATCTCTCAGTATTGTGCTTCACCATCTTTTTGTCACTTCCTTTTAAATGTAGCTGATAATGGCCCAAGACTAAAATGTTAGCTGGCATGCAAGGCCTTGGCCATAACTCATCAGGCCAAATGCTGCATGGCCCTAGCTCTATCACTTGTGATGTTCTGACTGTAGAGGGGCAGAGGCCTGGGTAGACTTCCTTCTCTCAGAATATTTGGCTTCCACAAGTGTTGCACGCTTGCAGACACCTGTGCAAAAATGCGGATGACTGCTAAATCTGACCTGAACTTTGATAATGAAAAAAGTGGTTCCATTTGAGCTGTCTTCAGAAAGGAGGGGCCATTCTGGCTATAAATAGGGTCATTCTTGGCTGTGGGGGTGTTGAAGTAACTCAATTGTTTGTTTGAGAGGTGTGCAAGTAAGAGCATATTTCTTCTGTGTGTGAACATAGATCCTGACGGGTCTTGTGGTTATTTCTCAGGTATTGCAACTTAAACAGTAAAAAAGTTGCTCTTTGGAGGGTTGGACTAGATGATCTCCAGATACCCCTTCTAACTTCTGTGAAGTTCTTTACTGTGCAGTGCTGGTGGAATGAGTGAAAGCCCCTATGCAAAGGCCAGGTTGGATGGAGGTATGGGAGCGGAGGGCACTGAAAATCACACCAAGCTGTGTTGTCTGCTGGGGTGAGTGGGGAGAAAGGCAGAAGGCTGCCAGGGAAAGAACTTGGCTGGGAGGGGAGATGATAGGTGGGGTAGGAAGAATCTTTCTGAAAGTAATGAGAGGAGGAAACCAACAGCACTGTGAATGGATGGAAAAACAGATTTGGAATTCACAAACAAAGAGGTTTTGTGGTTTTTTTTTTCTCTGATTTGTGTTTCTAAGAAATAAGATGTTGAGAGATGCTCTGCGTAAATAGATTAACATCCAAGGAAATCTGGCTTATGAGTTTGCTTGTTCCTGCTAACATAACAGCTTGAAAGACTCCAAAGATCTCTCTGCTAAGAAAGTCAATAATATCATGCTGGGAATAGCTTCTAGTCAGCTGGGGCTTAATGTAACATGGCATGTGTAAGATTTCAGAGCTTGATGCCATCTGCTCACAGAGATCATCAGATTGCTGGAAAGATGTCAACAAACAGGCTTGAGAAGCTAATGCAAATGAGGAGGGAAACAGCAAGCTCCAAGGTGTAGGAAAATGATGATTTTTTAGTGTGACTGTTGCGTTCATGAGATTGGTTAGTCTGTTTTTTAATCTGCTTCCCACTGCCTCCAGAGAAGTGCCTGCTAAAGGAGAGACGTGAGTCTCTGAGCTAAACTGAGAGAATATGGCAATAAGAATAGCAGATGAATCAGAAGAAGGAAAAAAAAACACAAAAAAATCAACAAATGTTTCACATAGTATTTGGAGACCTCTCCTGGGGAGCCTCAGAGAATTAGTGTTAGTGAGGGGGAAAGAAGCTAACAGGCATTGTAACCAGTAGCTATGAGGTCTCTTTAATGTCGTTTCCCAAATAATTTATGAGGTACCAAGGTTTTTTCTCTTTAAAAAAAATAAAATAATAAAAAAAATTGAACCCCAGATGGTAACCCGGAATAGGAACCTTCTTTGATCCCAGAGTCAAAATAATTGTACTTTGAAAAATGTTTTGAGTATAACGTTAATTCTGGCCTTCCCATGAAACGTGACATGAACACGTTTAAAATAGATATTTATGCCAAAAACCATTTCCATTATCAACTGAAAAGATTTGGGTGTTTTGTTACGGTTAAGATGTTTAAAATTTACAATCTCTCCTATGGTGCTGTTCTCATGTGATAAAGGATGTGCTTCCTACAGGCTGAACAGATTTCTTTCCTTTGTATAGGAAGTAAAACTTTGCTGTTTTGCAATAACTGAGCTTGAATACTTATAAAATGCTTACTGTATATTCACAAGTGTTTAAGTACCTTAAATTGTTGCTCACTAAAGAGCATTTTTCCATAAATCTCTGTCCTACTTCTACTTGTAACAAGTGAATAGTGGAATATTCATGACAATAGGGCTTGCTAACATTAATCAGCTTGTGGATGTCAGCTTATTGCCCCTACCAACTGTCTGAAGGGTAATTCTATGGATGATGGAGAAAAATTGTTCAGTCCATGCCAAACAACACAAAAATGTGCAGTGGTTGCAGACAACAGTGTCTGCAGATTGAGGTGTGGGAGATCTAGAGCTGATGTCTTTCCTGGGAGAGAAGTGCTGCTCTAGGGCAGGTCACTGGGGGCATGTGTATGGTTCTCTATCTCCATAATACCTCAGATGCATTATCTCTACCTTGTGACACTGGAGAATGTTATTTGCAATGATGCAAACATATACCAAGCCTAGACTTACCTTTCCTCATCTGCTCCTTGGTGAGTCCTACAGGGAGAATTTATGCCCAGTGTTCTCTAGCAGTCAGAGACAGCAGAGTTTTGCATGAGTCTTAAAGCTGGGTCTCCAGATAAGTCCCACTGATTTCTACTGTTTTAGCCCCCAGGAAAACATCACAGAAAAACACACCTGTCTATCATCTCCTTATAGCTCATTATGTCTTCCTCCATCATAATTTTGGCAAGTTTCTCTAATGTGTGGCTGTCCTTGGAAGCCAACAAGTGGAACAAAAACAGATGAACATGAGGCTATAGTGGGGGTTTTGCTTGATACTAATGGGCTCCAGATCATTGTAACAGTAATGTCACTTGGCAGTTCACCAAAGGCAGGTCTTGCTTGTTGTAGCTTGTTGCTCTGTTTCACTCCAAAGGCCTTTTTTTTTTTTTCCTCCAGTACTCAGTATGATGTGTCCTAAGAGAAATTCATAAGGTTACTTTAAGGATTAGCCATCAGATTCAGCTGTTTCAGAGTACAGGCCTGGAAGTGGAAAAAACTTGATTTATGCTCTCAGTGCCTGAGAGTAGCTTGGTTATTTCTGAACTGTGAAGAGAACTTTTCCTTGGGAATCCAAAGAAATGTATGTTTTTGTGAGAGGAACAAATGTACTATATTCTCTGCTGACTCTTAGAATCACAGAATCATTCGAGTTGGAAGGGACCCTTAAAGATCGCCTAGTCCAATTCTAATTCCAATCCAATTCCTAGTCCCTGCCGTGTACAGGAACACCTACAACTCCATCAGGTGCTCAGAGCCCTGTCCAGCCTGACCTTGAGTGTCTCCAGGGACTTGATTTATTTTGATGAAGTACTCTTGTTATGTGCACACACTGCTGAATGGCTGAGATTTTCCCTGAGGTTCATTAGTGTATCCTACCGCTAATGTCCTTGGGATGGTGTGAGAGAGAACTTTTGTGAAGGTGTTAATTGTTACTCTGTTATTCTCTTCTGCAGCTCAGTATCTGGTCACACATTGTATTATCAAAGCTATAATTACTCAAAAATCCCCTTACACTGCTCTTTTCCACTTACCACAAATTTGCTAAGAAGACCACAGTGCAGAAGTGGAAAGTACCTGAAATGTGCCGTGGGGTGTAAGGAAAAATTACTTATTTATTTGTTCATTTAATTAATTAATTAATTAATTAATGTGGCTACAAAAGGCAGTCCAACCTTGCTTTGCTGTGTTGGTACTGCACATTAACTGGCACCTTTCTGCTGGCAAATGCTTTGCTCTGAGGTCTTCTTCACCCATCTCCCTTCGAAGGACTAGGCCTGTTCAGAGCCTGTTGCAGTTAACTTTCCACCGTAGCTAATTGGATTTTTCACATTACACAATAGCATTTTAATTCCAGAGCTCAGAGATATGGTAGTGCGGATTCCGATTCTGACAAGAGAAATTGTCTCTGAGCATGTGCTGAAAGCCTTTCTCCTGTTATGTGTCATCTAATCCCATTAAGTGAGGCAAGCAGGCACTCTTCCCAGTGAGTGAGTGAAGCAACATGCTTTGGAGCAAGCCAAGAAGAGTCACCTTCCCACGTTAGTTTTGTGTTTGGGACAGCCTTTGCTTTTGGGAAGTGAGGTGAGGAGACATTTCTAGCACTGTTATGTCCTGGGCTGGATTGCAGACTGAACCCTTTGGGCAAACGGGGAAGGGAAAGACTTGAAGACCTCCTCTGAGCCTTCTTCAAGCGGGCTGCAAAATAAAGAACCAGATCAATGGGCACTTTGGTAAACATTGTGTAGGGTTGGGCATTTGGCTGCTCTGAGCCTTGAGCAGCCAAACAAGGAGACATGGCAGTGCTCTGGAGGTTCTGCCTAGGGCTGCACGCTGGGCTTGTGTCCCCCAGAAAGGACGAAAACAGACATAGACCTCCACAACACCTGGGCAGTGTACCAGAGGGATTTCCTTACTGGGGCAATCCCTCAAACGGTCTTTATGACAGGGGTTAACTTAACAAGGATTATTAGCTTTTTACCTTGATATGGGGGAACGATAACTCTTCTGAAGTCAGAACAGAAGTGGGCATTGGGAAAAGCTGACATTTAACTTTCCAAAAAAGCTCACTTCAAGGAGTAATTCACTGTAGTGCTCCTCAGATTAATTTAAAGCAAGTAACCCAAGAAGCCTGAGGAGAGTGGGATTTCAGCAGGCTGGAGACAAGAACAGTAGGGGACTGCAAATCTGGGAAGGTGGCTGGGGCTGCTGAACTGCAGAGGGGATGGCTCAGAGGAGCTGGTTTGCTTCTGGTACACAGGCTGATTTACGTGGGAGGGAGACAAATGTGCTGCAGATTTTTAGAGCAGAAAAGGTTTTTCTGCCTTCTTAATGTCCCAGGCTCCATAAATACACAATATCTGCAGAGAAATTTTTTTCTTCCTTCATTTCTTTTCTTTCTTTTCTTTTCTTTTTTTTTTTTTTTTTTTTCTTCTTCTTCACTAAAAGCCTGAATGGAACAAATGGTTCATTTCTGAACACTTTGCAGAGAGAGCAGCTCTGTAGTCCTGGATCCATTTCTCTGCTGGGGGCTTGTTGAGTATTACAGACCAAGACTGCTCTGAATTATTTGAAGAGATGATGTGCCTCACTTCTTACTGCCTTGGAGGATTTGGGGTCAGTTGTTGCTATCTCCAGGTCCCTGAGCTGTGATACTGTGTTTCAGGACATCGTAGCATGCACAATGTGCTGCACTGAGTTATCTAGGAAAAAGGGCCTCTGCTCACATTGCACAGGGAAATCTCCGTGCTGGAGTGGCTGAAGCAGCGGGAGCAGAAGAAAGGAATGGCACTTTTGCAAAGTGAGTAATGAACATCCTCTGGACCAGGCTCTTGGCAGCACACCACTGAGCACAGAAATGCTTCTTGATGATGAAAGAGAGCCTCCCATGTTTCAGTTTGTGCCATTTGCATCTTGACTTGGCACTGGGCACCATTGGAAAGAGCCCAGTTCTGGCTTCTTTATGTTCTCTCTGTACCTGAAGACCTCCAATATCCATCTGGACAAAGCCATAAGCCTGACTGGACCCACTTTGAGCCAGAAGTCCTTCAAAACCTTCATTTTGGTGTGGTTTATGATGAATCCTAAGGATTGTGTCTTGAGGATACCTCTTCAGGGCCAGTGAGGAGACCAAGCTATCAATCATCTGACAGCTGCAGCACTGAGGGGAAGAATACATTTATGGGCAATTTTGCCCAGGTTCCTCTTTAGTCAGAGCATACTTCTTTTTACAAGAAGTCTTTAACATTGATTACTGCAAACACTCCAGTCAAAGGCACTCAGCAGGTAGCTATGGCAACCCTTGAGATAAGTGGTCTAAAATATACCAGGTAAAATAACAAGGGGATAATAATATGGTTTTAGTTCAAATAAACTATTAAGTGTGACTAATGGTTTTACATTTTAAAAATATTCATACACTGTATTTCTGGGCTATAAATTAGTAATGGTTCGAGGCCCATTGTTCATCCCATTGCTGTAGGTGGTCCCCAAAGAATACCATTAATATATGCCTCCTGCATTTGTTAACCCAGCACTCAACAGGAGGAAAAAAGTCTTGTATCTTCACAAAATAAAACTGGTAAAGAGAGAAGATGGGGGAAGGACTCAGAGATGCAAGATTACCTATGCAGAGCTCTTAGAGCCCATTCATAGAGTCTGACCTAACTGATTTAACATGACTATCTTCTCAAACTTATTTTTCTAAATCATCTCTACTGGACATAAATCAAAACTAGCAGTTAGCAGCTGGGTGCTAAGTGCTGTGCATAGTCAGGCTTGAACTGTCATTATCCAAGGAAAGCTTACGATTTAAAGAAATAATTCGACTTATTTTTCTAACCTACATTGAGAAAACATGGAGCTGGGATTCTCATCCTGAAGAGCTGGTATGTCCTCATATTTTTCCGCCAGCAAGACAAGTAGCCAACAGGGTGGGAGATCTTAAGAAAGCAGAGCTGAAGTTTGCTTAAGCTACTCGTGCTGTTTCTGGTGGGTAGTAAGCATTTAGATGTCTTGATTTTCAGAATGAATCCACAACCAAAACAAGATAATATCTTCCCTCTTGCTCCCCTTTTCTCCCTATAGGTTTCCTGTCTTCATTCTGCCCTTAGCAAAGCCTGTTTCATCTGTGGTTTCCTCTGCTTCTTGACTGTGGGTCACACTAATGCAAATTGACCTGCCCTAACATGAGGGGTAAATTCCTTTTTTTTTTTTTTTTTTTTAAGTAGTTGTTCTTGTCAGTAAGAGAAAATATAACTGCATGTATTTCAGGTCAATGGCCAAGAACACATGAGGCCCATGAGGTTGCTTTTAAAATGAACTTTGTCATTGATTTTTTTCTTCAGATGTTATTCTTGTCTACTTGAAATTCCTACTCCAGGAGAACTAAGTGTTTGTATACTTGTTTTTGCCAGATGTTACCTCTGGAAGAAGCTAGCTTTGTAGTACAGGAGCAGTATCCTAGATCATGCAGTGTTCGGTTGGCCATTGCCCTCCATTAGGAAGAAGGAGCAGAGATGGTAGTCAGTCTTCAAGAAGTGAGTCCAAGCAAATGTGTCCTGTACCCTTCCAACCTTCTGCACAACCTGGTGGTGTTTCCCTCCTGCCTTCTATCTTTTTCTGACGGCTGGATTTCCCCAATAATTCTGTACCACTGAGCCAATGGCTTTGGTTCCGATGTCTTTGGATCCATTACTGGCCAAGAAAGCTCTGAACTGTCCTCCTTTCTCTTACTGCTGCTCTCTGCTGTCTCTAAGACATTTTGTGAGAAGGGATAACTTCTTCAGAAAGATGCTCCAGGCAGCAGAGTGCTTTCCCAGTCTTGGCATGAATGTGGAACAGGGCTGTGGCCAGTAGGGTGTGGGAGGAGACGGTCACATCTTTTCTGCCCTCATGAGGCTAATACTGCATCCAGGCCTGGGGTCTCGAGCTCAGGAAAGATGTGGAGCTGTTAGATGGGTCCAGAGGAGGGCCACAAAGATACTCAGAGGGCTGAAGCATCTCTCCTATGCAGAATGGCTGAGGGAAAGAAAGCTCTGGGGAGAACTTATTGTGGCCTTCCAGTATTTGAAGGAAGCGTACAATCAGGAGAGGAAATGAATATTTACACAGACTGATAGTGATAGGACAAGGAGGAATAGTTTAAAACTAAAAGGAGGGAGATAAGATTTTAAGAGGAAATTTTTCAGTGAGAGGGTGGAGAGGCACTGGCACAGGCTGCTCAGAGAAGCTGTGTATGTCCCACTCCTGAAGGCATTCAAGGCCAGGTTGGCTGCCCTTGCTGGCAACTCTGCCCTCTGCAGGCTTTTGGAACTAGATGATCTTTAATGTTCCTTCCAACCTGAGCCTTTTTGTGACTGTGTGACTCTGTTTCTCTTTGCTTACCAAGCCTTTCTCCTCTGGACTAGACACAGCATAGTCTGGATGTTGGGTCAGGGGATGCCCAGGACCGCCAGCAGTTTCTTTCCAGTCTGTGTGCTCCTTGATCATTACTGTTTTTCTCTGATTTTTCTATTTCTTCCTGCTTCCATCCACACCTTGGACTTCAGTGAGGCTTTCTCAGTTTCTTTTGTGGGCTGTTGAAAGGCTGTTCGTGCATTGAAAAAGCTTGGATCTCATCTTGAATTTTAATTCTCTTGTTGGCTGGTGGCAGGACATTAGCCTGTGAAAGTCAATGGATGCTGACACTTCTCTGCCAGCCAAGTGGTAAACTGAGCATTGTCAGCTTTAGCAAGGACAGCCAAGCCATGCACTTCTGTTCCCTGGATCTCATCCTGCTCCATCCCTGTTGGTCAGTTTTGGGGCCAAAGCTGGCTGTGTGTCCCTGCTGCTGGGTGCAGAAATGAAGGCACTGTGCAAACACCACACAGTGTGGTGGTTGCTGAGAAATTCTTGCGCATCTTTGCTCTCTCCTGTAGTTGGCAGGTTCTGAGGAACAGCCTCTCTTAATGGGAGAACAGAAAAAAAGCTATGGTCTAAGTCCTGGGCTACAAAAGCATGAATCAATGTGTGAACAGCACCGAGTACTACTTTTATCAGCAATGTCCCTGTTCTTATCATCCCCTGTTCTTGTTTCAGAGAAGGATGTAATCTCGTCAAAATCCAGCTTCCTATTAACCTGTGTTAGTAAACTCAGTACTTCCATGCTTCTGATGAAAACAGGAAAGCATTATGCTCTCCCAGGACATAATTGTGCACAACAAAATTAGCAGTCATGGCAAAATGGAGACTTGTGAGAGTGCTGCTTTGCAAAGGGTAATTTTTTTCAGCTCCACAATGGCATGTCATGATGCCCATCTGGTCTCAGTCAAGTTCTACTGATTAAAACAGACAAATTCCAAAGCACAGAGAAAAGGGAGGAAAAATCTCCTCCAACTCCAAAAGAGAAACAAGAAAGAACTGTGCTGATGATTTCTGAGGCAGGTGAGGAAGTAAAGGGAGGATGAACAGCTTGGTGGCAGCTTGTGCTGGTGAACAGATGTGAAGGTGCATGCATCTGAGGGCCAGAGGGGAGCAGCACTGCACAGATGTTGGGAGACAGCTTAAATTTTCTGATCTGTGGAGTAAATAGTGTGCTGAGAACATGTCATTACAGCTCTAATATGACACTGTGAGAGAGACCAATGCTAGAGCTGCTTTGAATGTAGACACTGAACTCTGCATGGGACTCTAGTCTGTGTTTTATAAAGCAGGGAGCTGAAAGAGGAGACATCTTGCATGCTTTGTGATCCCTTGCTCTTAGAGCATAGCTTATGCGAGTTTGCTGCAGTATGCCCTGCAGATGTTAATAAAATTGAACCATTTATTATACGCAGTCAGGTGTATACATGAGCACTGCAGAAGGGGAAGTGCTCTTCGCTCCACCTCAGAGCTATCTGGCGACTCCCCATCATCCTGAATTGGGGCAGGGATTGCTCAGTGTGGCTAAGGAAAGTTGATAACATTCAATATTTATTCTGAGCTACTGCTTCTAGAAAACCAAACCTCTGTTTTGATGTAGGAAATAATGAGAAAACATTCTAAGGATTCTGAAAATTTAGTATCTCTATGCTGGTGACAATGTGAAATGTAGAGGATCTTTGCAACTGTTTTCAAGGTCCTTGCAACTGAATCTCCCCAAATCAATTAGCTAAGGAATTGCTCATTGACCTTAATTAAAAAATAGACTTTTTTGGATTTCAAAACAACCCCAAATCAGAGAAGGATGGAAGGGGAGGAGAAATGAGGATGGCGTATGGCAGTTATGTTGTCAAAACTGCCTTTTCCCCAAGAATGTTTTTGCTGCGTGATAAGCTCATTTTTTGGCAAAAAGAGCATCAAAATGATTTGACACCTGGCCATTGTTGCTGGTTCTGTGCAGAAAGAATGGGGAGAGGGAGACAGGCAATGTACCTTATGGACACTCACTTGAAAAGTGGGTTACAGGGCTGTACCCCAACAAAAGATTTATCTTTCAAGATAAATCTTTTCACTGCTGCTGTTTTCTTTGTTGCTGGTGCTATCCTTTGTTTACTTTTACTTTGCTATGCCCTGTGATCTCCTCATGCCTGCTCCCCACACCTGTAGCTACCAATGCCATCAGTGGTAACAATGAGTGGTTGCAACTGGTGGAGTCTTTGCATGGCCTTCAGCTACTTTTGTGTTTCCCTGCCTGCTGTGCCACAGCTGGAGCTCTACAGATCAGTCAGTGGAACCAACAGCATCTGCTGTTCTTTAATCTATCCTCCTTCAAGGAACTGTTCCCTATCTCCCAGCAAGTTTTACATAGAACAAAGGGAATGCTTTATTCAAGTGGAAGATCCCAAAGAGATCACTTCTCAATCTTCCCTTAAGGTGCCAATAAATACTCTCAAAAATATGTTCTGAGTTCCCCGTTAAGTGTTTAATTTTGAGAGGAAGACACATATAAGAATGAGATTGATTCTCTGCTTCCAGTGCAAATTCTTTTGTAATTGAGCTGCTATTAGCAACTCCAGGGGCACTGCACTGTGTGCTTTTATGGGCCAATAATAGAGGTCTGGGGTGTGGAGGCAATCAGCTTTCAGCCTAGAACCTAGCAAAGCCCAGAATTTGTAAAATAATAGGCCACTGAAGTTTTTCCTGCTGAGACTTGTAAACCCCCATGTGCCAAGAAAGCAGGCCAGCTGCTAGCTAATGGGTAACAGGCAAAACACCTGTGGCCAAGTTGTTGTGTGGGCCACTGCAACCTCTATTGGAAAGGTACTCATGGGGTTAATTAAACCAAATAGAATGGTATGAGACAAGTGAGTCAGTGGGGCCAGGGGGCTGGCAGTCACAGGGAAACTTCTTGCTGTGCAACAAGTTTTTATGGTTTCAAAATGGTTTGGTTTTGCTGCAGGAGGCATGCTCTGTCACAGTGATAAAGATCATGTGCCTTACTGGGACCCTACAGAAATGCATTTCCCAATCTATGTTCTGGAGCTGGATGTTACCACCGGCCCTGCAGTGGAGGTAAGACTGTATGTGATTATGCTCAGTTTTACAGAGAAGCTGGTGGGTTCTGTAGCCCATCAGTGCTAGTGGGCACTATGTGCAGTATGTGGGGCAAGCAGGACCCATGCTGCTGCCCAAATGCTTCCTAAAAGGAATGGACAGGTTCTGTTCTCCAGCAGGTGGTGAGCCTTTTGATTTTGAACACTATCAAAGTGGAGAAGTGATGGATGCTAAAATAAAAAAGATTTGGTTGATGAAGGGAGCAGAACAGGGAGGTGTTCAGGGCTTCTCAAGTGAGAAATTACTAGGGAAAATGGAAGCAAATTGCACTTGAAAATAGTTGCTGACATGTTTAAAGCGATAAGAGAAATGGAGATGAAAGCATTCTCCATTTTGGAAATACAATGAAGACAGATTTCCAACATTTTAATCTTTACAGGAGCTAACAGAAGCCTGTTAACCACAGCCCATGCTCACCCAGGGTGGGGTGGATAACTTTGCTGTTTTTCCCTGAATTGATAATGCACAGTTTTGCAGGAGATGTGCAGCACTACTCTATTCTTTACCAGGCAGTACTCTGCTTCAGCCAGCAAAGGGCTTGTGTCACTGCTCATCCATGTTTTCTTTTGTATTTCAAGCTGATATTATATGAATGCCCAATTCAGGACCAGATCACTGCTCTCCAGTTTCCCCCCATGCCTCCAAAGCGTCATTTTCTGATGCATTTCTGCGAAGCCCAGTGTTGTAATTAGCAGAGGAGTGGAAAGCAAGTGGCAAAATTTAAGATATAGGATATAGAGGGAATCAGAGGAGAAGTTGCTGTGTGTGCTCTGTTCCCTGAGGATGCTCAAAGGCTGGTGTAGACAAGAACTGGATTTGGCCACTTATGTTCTGACTCCCCACAATTTCCCCACCTGAAATCCTATATGTTTATTGGGGCCTTTATGGGGAGGGTTTCAGCTGAGCCTCAGGGGATATCAGAACAAGCAGGGGTTCATGGAGGAAGACGGCCATGAAACCCTACCTGGATCAGTCCTGGGTTTCTCTTATATTTAGAAGTGCTGGAACTTCTGAATGGGGAAAAAAAATAAATTCTATGGTTTTATGATTAAAGAGATAACTAACGTGCTACTAAGTCTGCTTATTTAACATGGCTTCCAGATCAGATCTTTAGAGCATTAACATGTAGCGTGGTGGTGATTAAGAGTTTTTCTTTTTTGGCTCTTTGCAAAAGTATTTGTTCAGTATAGGAACACTTTTTTTTTTTTTTTTTTTTCCTGTGGCATAGTCTGTAGTTAGTGAAGTCAGTGTTTGGTTTGAACAGGCTTGTGGCTCATTTTGTTCTGCTGCTACCTATGTGGCTAGGTAAGTTTTGGTTTGCTGGGGGAGGCAATGGGTTGGAAGGAAGCAAAGAAGTGCCTTTCAGTTGAAGAGCAGGAAAGGAGCAAAATGAAACCCCTGCTGGTCCCTTTAAGCCATAAAAATAGATGAAAGCATAAATCTGAGCCCTTTATGGATCTGGAATAAATGTGGTGTTAAATCAGAGGCAGCTGATAATGTAACGGTAATGCATGTTTGCAATACAATCACCACATGATATTAAAAGATAAGTGTCCATTTAGGAAGAAATGATGAAGTGCTGGAGGCCTGGAAGGTCACCTTGCAGAACTCCCAGGTGATGGGAAAAGGTCCCCGTGTTGGATCTGAAGGAGGTAACAGAGATGCTGTGAGGTGTGAAGGAAGGTGGACTGGCTTTGCTTGCCCTGAGGGACAAGGAATCTACACCAGTTTCCTCAGCTCACAGCTCCGCTCCTGGTTTCAAGATGATGTGTTCAGAGATCCTTCCAAATAAGAAGAACGAGGGTTTGCTTGTAGTGCAGCCGGGTTGAAACTCTGCCCAAAAAGCACTGTGAAGCCCTCGTAAAGCATCTAGTAAATATAAACATCAGTTGTGATAAGCTGAAATGAAAGCAGTAACTAACAGCCAGGATTAACAACCCAAAATTTCGTGTTGCTCTATAAACCTTGGGCTAGGCAGTGAAGCAATGAGCAGGGCTGCGTAATTACAGCCATAAAAGCGCAAGTGTTCTCAGTACGCTCAGAGCAGAGGAGTCAGATGAATACTGCTGAGCTTGGGAAGCTGTTAATTTGTTTCATTTCTGTAAATTTCCATCCTGTAAGCTGTCTCCTCAGCTGATACCCTCACTTACTTAATTTCCACTCAGCGTACACAGCAGAGTGCTGGGATATTGCAGGCAAGGCAATGGCTCCTGCAAAATGAAAGCAGGGGTAACAGTAATATTCATAGATCTTGAGGCTGAAAGGGGTCATTATGAATCTGTATCCTGCCCTTCCACAGTAACTCAAGCCTTGAAACCTCACCCAGCAATTTCTCTATCAGCCCCAAAGCTTCTGATATAGGTAGGATGTATTCTTTATCGAGACGTCTGTAGACCTTGATTGATGAGGATGCTGCTGTGTCCCAAGGGAAGCTGTTCAGTGATCGCTTCTCTTCCCTATTACATACATTCAGCTTTCAGCATCGAGAGTATATTTTGCAGGGTTTTTTGTGTGTTCTTTTTGGGGGGGGAGTGTTGGTTTGGTTTGGTGTTTTTTGGTTGGTGTTTTTTTTTTTTTGTTTTGAGATGAAAAAACTCCTATGATTTGTATGATTTGTCTGTGTTTCTATTGAAACAGATTCTTAGCTCTTCCTTGTATTAGAAGCTTGGTCTACCTTTTTCATACAACAGGTATCTTTTTCCAGAATGCCAAAGGGCTTTTTTTTTTTTCTCTTTTGTGAAACATTCTTTCCTCTTTAACTTCCTTCTGGAAACATAGACTGTAACAGATCTTGCATCTAAAAGTACAGTTTCTGTCTGATATTCCCTAGGACTGGGCTAGAAAGTTTTGCCTGCAGTTTCAGTAGCAACAAATTGTGGAGATGATGTTTTGTGAGTATTTTTTGTTTGCTTGTTGGTATTTTTCTTTTTAGTTTGAATTTATTTCTCCTGTAGTCAAAAAGTCATCTGAAGGAGGATGCATTTTTTGCTGAAAACTTTAAGTCTATGAAGACTGATTATTTATTTTTTTTTTCCCATAAGTTCTTTATTCTCCTCCCTCCCCTTTCTGTTTCTGTCATAGTTTAGAAGATATTTGTCAATTGGAGAAGTGAAATAATCATTGTTTTCCCTGCCTTGGTTCAGTCATGTTGCTGTCTGTCTCTGAGGTGGGCTTCATTAACAAGAGTGACAAAACTGGCTAATGACCTTTGGTTCTTCTGAAGCAGGTGGAGTTTGAATTGCTGCATGTGATCACAGCACTGGTTGGTCCTATCTCACATCTTCCTGCTCTTGGATCCCATGGCATGGTTGACAGCATGAGATGCCCTGATCCAATCAAATGTTCACATCTTGATTTACTTCTCCCTTGTCTTCTCTGATCACTAAGAAGTCTTGGTCCCATCTTGGGTGTCATGTCATGATTTGGTGATGGCACAGGAAAGGTATGGAACTGGAAATCATCTCCAGTGTTGTTGTATTCAATCCTCTGGCAGTGCAGGTGATTATGTTCCTTCTCCACCTCCCTAGACATGTTGAGCTCCATCCTACGTTCACCAGTCATCTTGGAAGGCTGGTCCAGAACATCTTGATATTAAGACAATACATAAAAGCAATGAGAAGATCCTGTGTTTAAGTTTCCAGCTCTGATCTGCTAGGTGAACTCTGACAAACTATTTCTCTCAAATTTCCCCAGCTTCATCTTATAAACAGCAGTGATAGTATCTTTCTTTCTCTTGCCAACACACTTAGAAAATAGAGGGTGGGAAATGCTGTAGAAAATCTGGAATCTAATGCAGATTCACAAGAATTTGACAAGCATCACTGGATCTGATTAGGCCAGTTTTGAGCAGGGAAATGTGCTGGATGACCTCTGGCGTTCCCTTCCAGCCAAAAACATTCTAAAACTCAGTGAGTATGAGTCAGTTGAGGTTATGTTGCTATTTTAACACATTTGCATAATTTTATGTGGGAGCTTTTGGTTGTATTTGTTGGATTCACTCAACTAACTGCCTTGTAATTTTATTAGTTTCAATTTACTTTTTTCCACGAGTCTTAGCAAAACAATGAAGAAGCAATTTAAAAAATAATCAGATTAACTAAATGATGGAGCCCTGCCCCATGGCAGCAGATAAAACGACCAAAGTGTTCTCCATTTCTGTTACCTGAACAAATGGTATCTCAGACACTGAAATGGAGATCTAGGCTGTTTTCCTTTCTCTTCACCCCATATCACTCGAATTCAGAGACACTCTCTTATATGTGTTCTAGTTCTCCAGCCCTTGGTCTTCTTTGATCCTTCTCCTGAGAAGAGCATTTTGGGAGCCACTTGTCCTCTCTCTGTGGGCTGCAGGGCATGCTGACCAAGCCTCTAGTTCCCTCCATCCCTCTTCTTGAAAATAGGAGTGGCATTTACTTTCCTCCAGTCTTCCACATCATGCTTTTGAATTACTTGTTCTCCATGGCAGCTGGGTACTTAGGTAGAATAGAAAGTAGGTATCCTGCTGTTGGTGGGTTGCAACAACTAGGACTTAAAAATAAACAAATAATAGCAGTGAAGGAGCAGCAATGTCTTAGTCGTGAGAATTTTGTGGAGAGTCATTTTTGCTTTGATGGGCTAAATCCAAGCTTATCTGAACTTACCCTGGTCTTGAAGAGGGCTGAGCCAGTATTGATCAGCTCAGGATGTAGATGTCTTCAGCCTTTCTTTAACCCCCTCTACAAAGCCAGAGAAGCAGGTGAGCTGCTTGATGACCCATCCTCACTGCTGTCTGGGTTTATCTGGATTTCAGTTTCTATATAACACTACAACATGTTGGTTGGGGATAGAGTACAGCATGAGAGGTGTGTGTTCTCCACAACTGGATTTTCCACTTTGCTCTTTATTGCTGGTTGTTTTTCTGGGGGAGCTTACTTAGAAGAAAGTGGCTCAATAATTTAAATGTAGATGATGTTATCTCCTTCTGGCAGGTCTGATCTCCCCTGCCTTCTTCTTTTTAAGTTTTGAGGGTATTCTATAGTTGAGATTGTCCAGGGAATTTTTGCCTTAGCTTCATAAAGAAAACTTACTCATCACACAAAGGAGGCTGTGTAGATAACTTCTCAGATCTGGCAATCCAGCCACATGCCTTCTAGCATTCTTCTCTTAGAACCTAATTTGTCCCACTTTCTCTGCAGGGTCTGCAGACATGCACAGAGCCATGCCACTGCCTCCCACCTCTCTTCAGTAGTTCCAAGTGCAGCGTTCGCACTGAGCTCAGAGTTTGTGTGCTCCCTTTCATCACTATCTTCATCATGATCAAAAGAGCCCTTATGGTGCGCAACGCGACTCCTCTGCATTGTTAATAACAATTCAGACCTGCAGAGATCCTGTTAGTTTCTGGCAGGGGAAATCTATCTGCAGTGGCTCAGGAGCAATTGCAGCCCTTTGTGCTTGCAGATGAGCATCACTCAGTTTTACACACGCCACAGTTTTACAGCCTCTGTCACCTCAGCGAGCAACAGCAACACAAAAGGCAGAAATACATTTTTCAGCTTGGCTGAATCCAGAGCCTTCAGCTGTTCGTGGGCCATTGCAGGAAAAAGTCTGCAGTGCAGTCGCGTTGAGTTGTACCTGGCGTTCAGATTGAAGGCACTTAATTAGCACTCCGCTTCCTTTAGCTTCTACAAGCATCATATAAATCACTCTCAAATGGGAAATTTGGGCTGACTCTCGAGCTGATCGACCAGCAAACATCTGAGGAAGATTTGTGGTGTCTTTTCACAAGTAATCATGCTCCATCTCAATAACCAAAGCATGGAGGTTGTTTGAAATGTGAACTTTGTTCATGTTTCATGAGTACAATCTGCTTGCAAAAGAAATGTGAGTTAAAAAGATCCTGTAAATCAGAGGGTATTTATCATGGCTTCAAGTTCTTTTTCCTTCAGATGCTTTAAAAACATTCCAGGCTGCAGGAGATCGTACTGATGCTGCCTACTGTGTGTGCTAAGCCACACTGTGCCTTGAGGTTTTCATGCCTCCTGGGTTGTAGAGGTGGAGATGACAGAAAAAAACAATCATTTTCCTCTTGTGCTTGTTTTGTTGTTGTTTTTTCCTGTTAAAATGTTATATGTTTACTTCTAAGCTGCTTCTGAAGAATGTTTCTGATGTGGGTGTGTTTGGCTGGATTTAAAACTGAGCAAGAAATGAGCAAAATAAGTAGAGACTCCAGTTGCAGTGATGGTTATGTTCAACATTTTCACTGTAAACATTCTCATAATTTTTTTTAATTGGAATTTTGGAACTGGAAGGAATCATCCCAATGTAGTGAGCACGCTGCAGGTTTCTGAGGGAAGATCTGTAAGGCAATTTTGTTCTCATGAGAAGTATGACAGAAGTGATGCTTCATGTCACAGGCATATGGGCATGGCTTACTGCACTATACTGTACTACTGCTTTTTCAATCCTGTGGACATAGGAGCATTTATGTGTATCTCTGCATGCAGTGGGAGAAATCCCATGGAGAGCTCTTTCACACCATGTGATTTAGGATTTAATTTCTGGCAGCTTCCACCCAGAAACCTCCTGCAGGAAAGCCCTGTTTTCCACCCAGATTTGATAAAATATCCCCCTGAGACTTCAGGAATTTGGGGACTCTGAGCTGTTCAGTTTCAAGTGGAGTACAATCTCCTACAGGAGAGGGGGAGAGCCCAGCTTTGGTCCCAGGCTAGCATATAGAGTTTGGGTATGCAGAGCTGGATGATATGCCTGCCACAGCACTGGGTGCTGGTGCAAGCTTCATTCTCTTTAGCTGCATGAAGTATGACCCAGTTGTATCCTAGTCTGCAAGGCATGTGGACAGGGGTAATGCAACTTTCTAGGGCTTTTAATGGCACCTTGTCCTTGGTGTCCAGTGTGATGAGTTCCTTGTTCACCAACAATGAAAGCCTGATTATAATGAAGATGCAGTCCTCGACACTTATTGCAGGGCAGTGAGCATGTTTGTTTCTGCACATCCTGCTGCAATTTAGCCTTGCTTGAGACAGCAACTATTTGGTGTCTGCTGCAATACACTGCCTGCATGAGTAATGCTGATTGCAGAGAGGGTACTGAAGGGAGAAACAAGAAAGATAAGGATGACAGATAAGGATTAAAAGGACAACTTTGTCCCAAATAAATCACACGCTGCTAAGAAGAGCTCCCAAAATTGGGCACAGTCCTCTTGGTGGTGAAGTTCCTCTGCTCTTTCACCTTTTCTGTTGTCCAGCTCAAAGACAAGGAAGTTAAATCCCAAATATTTGAAAAACAAAAATCACTCGGCTATGCAGTGCCCATTTTTCTTTTTGCATGCCCTGGTTTTATTTCAGTCTCTTTAGGGCCGCCCCAAGTCATTTTGATTATTGGACCAGATATTGCTTATGAAGCTGGAGATAGCATTCAGCTTTGCTTGCTGTGTCCGTGTTGAAGTTGTTGGGCACTAAAGGAGAGGGATTATAGGATTATTGCCACAGTGACAGGACAAGGGTCCAGGAACAGTGAGGTTTGCCTGATGGAGGGGAAGATCTACCATGCATGTGGAGGCCCAAAGACTTATCTTCTGTAGAAAATGGAAAAGAAAAGAAGGCTGCTCCTCTGCTAGGGCCATTGATGTGGGAAAATAGAAAAACTCACAGCTGTGTTTCTTTGCAGTAGACAGAAACAAAACCATTCTGAAAAAACAAAGCAGGCTGGTTTATGTGTTGGAAGGTGACCCCAGCTCACATCACTCTGCCTGCCTTACAGCCTGTTCTGCCTCATGCAGCAAGAAGATCATGTTTCTACTCTCCTCATGACCTGATGGGTGCATCGATTTGAAGACAGCATTGGAGAAGTGAAGCTGAAAAGCTGAACTGCAGGATGGAGAGGTAGGAGGGTCACCTCGTAATTTGCTGGGGCTAAGCTTGTGATGCTGGCATGCATGCTGCAGAAAGCTGCCTGAGTTTTGGCAAAGAGCTGCAGCTCTTACTGAAGGGCTATAGGATGCTATTTTTCTCCTCTTTCTGTACTGTCTTTCTTATTTTATAGTAGGTTTTTTTTTCTTTTTTTTCTTTTCTTCACCCCCCCCCCGCAAAAAGAGCAACAAAAGCAAAGGAGCAACAAAAATCTTCAAAGCAATTCTGTCTGGCAGTCCCAAGATATGGTAAAACTCACCTTGGCAAGCTCCATTGGATTAAAAAGATGCATTTGGCAGCTTCTTGCTGCTTTCCTTAAGGAAAGTCTGCCCTTTTTGGTTTGTTAAGCACCTAAAATGGCTGGATGAGATTACTTTGCTTTCTTTTAATGATCCCAGTAGAGGTTGATGCCACTTTTGCAAGGCTTATACTACCTGTCTTGTAATTGGTAGCAGACAATTGACAAGCAAGTGTCTCATTTGGGGAAAATTGCAAATTAGAACTGTTACGATGCTGCAAATTAGAGAGATGTAGCATAGCCCATTATTTCTGGCCCTACTCATGTGACACAAGGCACTGCTGAGGCTTAAATATCCCTGAGACATTCTGAGTGACACCTGTATGTCTCCCATAGCAGCAGCTGGAAGCAATGTGTGAAGGGCTGAGCCTGGTTTGCAGACTCCATGTGCCACTGGCCTGTGCCAGCCCAGAGGAGCTGGTCTGTGTGTAGACACATCCTCTGCTTGCCATCACCTTCATCCTCATCACCCTTTGCCTAGCTGCTGGTGTCTGCACCACCTGCCATCAACCTTCAGAGCACGGCTGAAAGCAGCAACTCACTCTGGGCATGTTCTTGCTCCCCAGACCACCCTGCTAGAGCCATTCCTGTTTACTGCTAGTTTCCCCTAGCTGGTTGCTGCTTGGTATCTGTCAGGTAGGCAGTTCTTAATCTGTTTAGGGCTTTATTGATGCTATATAGTACTATTTTTTTAAATGAAATGTCATTTGATACTAAGTCAAAAGCCCTCCAAAGATCTAAGCCTATTACTTCTGGACAGTTCCGTTCATCAACCAAATTTGTAATCTCATCACAGAGTAAAATCAGGTTTGTTTGACAAGGCCTATTTTCCATAAAGCAGATGAATTGGCCTTGTTGTATTCCCATCTTTAATTCTTCGGTGAATGAGCCCTGCATGGAGGTTTCCACAATTTTGACCTGGATTGATGTTATATATCCATTTTACCTTGCCTGTCTTTTTATAGCACTGGCAATGCTTTACTACCCTCTGAGGATGATGGGTGGGCTATGCTGCTCTGATATGCCCAAAGGAATCATTTGTCGAAAGCCAGACTCCCAGCTGTGCATCAGAACAGTGAAGGAAGAGATCCTAATTGGAGGTAATCTGAAGGGCACAAGAGCTTAGAATAGGAGACAGGGCTGCAGGGACAGGTCTCTAAGGACACCATCCTCTAGGTATAGGCCTTCCTACCAGGCCTGTTGAGCTAAACAGAGGAATCATTTATCTGACCTGTTTCATGCTCAACAAAAATGGAAAGGAACTGAACTGAAGTCAGTTGTTTTGTAGGAAGTGCAAATTCAGAGCAGTGTTTTGACACCCAAGAGCTTTCGGTTGAAGTAGCGATGTCAGGAGGTTACTGCAATTAAAACAACTCATGGGACAATTCTTCAGCTGATAGCTATGCTTAGTTTTTCTGGTTCACCCTCTCTAGGAGACTGTGTTGAAGGTTCTCACTTTGATGGGGGCTATGGCACTTAGCACAGCTTCTTGACATCCTTACACTTGTTACTTGCCCAGAAAAAAGAAAAATCCAACGTATCAGCAGCAACACTGAGAATCTGGCCCTACTATGACCCAGTTTTTCTAAAAGCTGTAAATAAATATTACCTTTCATAATGCTCTGCAGTAATCTGCTCCCTGCATGCCTCCAGATGATATGAGAGCATAGGGAAGATCACAGTGTGTTGGAGTAAAATATCTTGATCAATGCAGATTGCCCATCCGTCTGATTCCAGACAGCTTTGATGAGTGGCATTGGGAAGTTTGGTGAGTCTGCTTATTGTGTTATTGTGCTCAGTTCTTCAAGTTCAGCTGTAACCATATCCTCTTTTTTCCAGCTTTCCCTGGAAATCCTTTGTTAACTTGGCCTATTCCAAAGTATTGTCTTGTCCACTTGTGGTAGTGTCCTTTTGTATTACTCTTCAAGCTACGTAGAAAGCAGGCTTTGGAATAATGCCTCTCAGAGGCACTGCTTCAGTCTGGGCTATGCCTGAACAGAGATTGCCTTGCATTACTTGAAAAGATGTAGATGGGTGAAGTGCTTGAATGTGGTAGCTCAGGTGCTGATGCTGAGCACAGCTGGTTCTGTGGAGCTCTTACTTGTACTTGTATTTCATAACTTGGGTAGCCAGCAGCTGCAAACACCAGGGCCACTACTTGGTTAGAGGACACATGAGGGGAAAACATGCCTCCAAGAAGAGACAAAACTTGGGGCAGTTACCCCAAAGCGCAGGGAGTGTGTGGGTAGCCCTCTGAAGCTACTTGTCTTTCGTCGTGAAGACTGAAACCTTCATCTTTGTGACACAATGAATGTAACTTTCACTACTTTCCCCGAGTTAATTTAGAAAACAGAATTTCAGAAGCATTAAAATTCCTTGACTGACCTTTTTTTTCCCCCACTTGAATCCTAATCACCAGTCATCTCTCGAGGTAAAAGCTTCACACCTGACTCCAGTCAGCCTTCATGTCCGAAATCTGTGTGCCACTACCAGAGACACAGATTTCTTATTGAAGGAGACTTGCACCAGCCAAGCTGTGCTTTCTCTTGATAGCTACATCTATAAATATACCTAGATTTCTACAATATTTGTATCCACCACCATGTGTGAGCAGATCTGGTGACTGTCCTTGCTTGGGAACATTCCTGTGTAGATGGGTTTCATTCCCCCGCACAGATCTGTTCTTCACTGTGTTCATGCACAGCAACTGTTCAACCGCTGTGAAAGCCTGGAAGGACTCCAGCTAGCCTGTGTTATCTGACATATTCCCACTACCTTGCCTCGTGCCTGAGCCAGCTTCATTTGGCCCGTCTTCTCACAAGATTTCTTGGCTAGACATCTTTGTCACGCAGGTAAAATTGCTCTCACAGGTCTCACTGGAGATGGAAAATTGATATAAATTTCCTCTAAATGAGGCTTAGCTAATTTGCAGTTGTCTCTTGGCATCAGAAAGGTGTGGATTAACCCAAAAAGCTGCAGTTCTGCTTGTTCCCCTGGCAGCAAAGATGAGAACCAGGTAGTGGAGGCAGTCTTGGATTGATTTTGCATGATCAGATCTTTGTGACCTTCCAGCAGAGTCAAAGAAAGTTGAAGGGATATGAGTGTTCTCATGATTTATTTCATTGCTTTTAAAAGGAGAAAGGAAGTTTTTGCAATGTGTTTGTTTGTCTGTTGTATTCAAGTGGTAGAACAAAGGATGGAATCTTTAGGGTAGTATCTTCCAGTGGAGTCTAAGTGACTTGGTGTCTCTGTTTTCCAGGATCCTGAGACTGAGAACTAGAGACTCAGGGATGTTTGAGTGTCAAAGGAAGGAAGTAGGCACACAGGTGACTTGTTGAAATGCCCACAAGAACCTTTGATGCCCATATGTGCACCTCATCCAAGTAGACTTTGAGCTCTTGAAGGACTTAGTATCTATGGGGGGGGGGCTGTAAGAAAGAAGGGGACAGAGTCTTTAGCAGAGTCTGTTGTGACAGGACAAGGGGAAGTGGTTTCAAACTAAAGGAGGGGAGATTTGGACTGGGTAGTGGGAAGAAGTGTTTTACAATAACTGTGCTGAGGCACTGACGTAGATTGCCTGGAGATGGTGGAATCCCCATCCCTGGAGACACTCAAACCCAGACTGGATGGGGCTCTGAGAAACTTGGTCTTGCATTAGAGGTCCCTGTTTATTGCAGGGGAGTTGTACTAGATGGTCTGTAAGGGTTCCTTCCAACTTTGATAATGACTATAACATGTTCAGGAAATGCTAAATGTACTGTTGGGAATGGGGCAGCACCTGTAAGTCCCCACAGCTGTCAGAAAGCTGTCTGCTCTTCAATGCAGGAACCAAGGGGTGTCACTGGGTGTCAGGGTGTCATTTTTGAAATAAGCTTCTATTGGAGACAAGGCTTTGGATTCAAACTTACATATTTCTGAAATATATGTCTGCTACTGGTGCCTCCAAGTCTAGTCTATAGTTCTGGGTATTATGAATCCTGAGATTGACCACTATTTTCCTAGGAAAGATGGTCACTACTTAACTCATGTATGGTTCCATGCATTCAGATCTTTGTGGACCTTTCTGTCAGCACTCTCACCTTTACTGTTCTGTTACCAAAGGTTTTGCACACTTTCATGCAGTTTGAATATTTGCAGTGAAAGCCTGGTGAACTGTGTTAATTCAGGTACCTACACATTGAAGATTTATGTTATACTGAGAGCAGCACTTGGCAGCTCCAAGGGCAGAGAAATCATGGTAGAAATTTGGGAGACAGGATATTTTGGCAGGCTTTTGAGAAGTATAACTTTTGCGCACAATGGAGCGACACGTAGGTGACAGACAAGCAGATAAGGATGCAAAAACATCAATTCATTCCTTTAAAGGAACTGTAGAAGGAAATTTTGACAGTTCCTTTCCCAAAATGCACTTATTTTGTTCAGTATTTACTGTTTGCTAACCTTCACTCCAAATTTTATCCTCAACAACCTCATTTCCCTGCGTCTTTTTGTTTTTCTTTAAGAAGCAAAACACAAAGAATCAAAATAAAACCACATTTCCCTCCTTTTTCCTGTTTTAGGAGCTTTTACAACTATTAGTTTTGGAAAATTTGACTCATTAGTACTCTTTTACTGTTTTAAAATAAAATTAAGTAACCCTACAAGAGTATCGCACTTATAGCTTGAAATTAAATTAGAAAATTAAATGCTACTTTTTGGGGGAAGGTTTTCAGTTAGCTTAAACTGCTCCATCACAGTCAAAATGAGCAAATTAGCAAGACCTGGAAAGCTCTGTCTCTGCATGTAACCATATAGCACCATTATGCTGAATTTTTAAACTACTGTCAGTTTCTGTTTCATTAGTTAAAAAATATGTACATATATACACACAT